TGCTATGTGATATCAAGTTTCGTCCTGGCGATGGCGGCGCTAAACCTTAGGCGGCGCTAAACCTTAGGCGGCGCTTGTGTCATTGGTGCGTCCGTCAACAATGGTCTAGCATCCTTTTGACTCAATGTTAATGTAATCGAGCCTGGATGAGTCTTCTTCAAGAGAAGACCTCGAACAGTTTAAAAGCCGTTGGTTTATCGTCTCTCTTTCGAATCCATATTTGGAGAAAAGGCGTCCTTAATTCGCTCGATATCTTCCACGGCGTTGTGACAAGGCCTCCGTTGCCTCATTTGATCATCTGAATTGTTGTACAGATAAACTTCGAATGGGCAACGAGAGGGCAACGCCAAACAAGTCTGACTGAATATGATAGACCCGAGTGAAAAGTAGCCGCCATTAAAGCCAGCATAGACAAGACGATGATAGCCCGAATCGACAAGATCCTTTCTGCAATTCGTCTTGTGAATTTTTCGTATGGAAAGCAGTTGCGCCACGCAAATTAAGATAATCCTCAACTAATGCTATTCAAATCACATCAGCTGTATCGACCTTTACCTTAGGGCCACAATGGCGGAAACCTTAGTCTGAGCCTAACAAACACCATAAATTCAATTGCAGTCTGACACCTGTCGTGCTGAGTCCTAACTTTAATATGCTCGAAAAGTTTTATTAGCCTGGCCTCACTTGATTTTTTAGATCATTTGACATTTTGACCCTAAAATTTTAACCGTATTTGACCGCAGTCTTTCTCCTTGAGTTCCTCACCAAAATACGTTTCACCGACGGGACCTTCACCGAAATAGTGGTAAACTTGTACGCTATGATTTACCAATTTATATTTAGATAGGTTACTGGCGCGCTTTGCTTCTGCTTCTCTAATTTTACTACCTTCTATTTGGAGTGGTGATACGTACATCCGTTTCCGAAAAAGTCAAATGCCATAGCACAGATTAGCACAATACTGATGATCACAACCACCATAGCGTATACACACGAACCTATGTCGTTTATATTAGTTAGCCTCGTAATTACCAGGCGGCCGTTACCTAGTTTGGAATGATGCTGTTTGCCCTATTTGACACGTTTCACAAATGGAGACTCCTTACGTTAACTTGTTCCTACGCTGGATAGCGTAAAATCAATTGTTTGATTCACTGGGGCTGATCAAGCACTACGTGGCCAACGCCATTGATATACGAACCCAAATAGACGGGTATTTTTTTCATGAGTAAAATGTTTCCTGTTCTTGCTTTAGATCAATTACTTTCGATCATATCGGTCCAGGCAAATATGTATGCCTTACTGAGAGTAGTAGGCCTGAAGCTGAACGATCCATTCAGTAGAGTGGGACTGCTGGCTAGGGTCCAGATCGAATTGTAGACCTGTCAATCGCGTGTGGCCACACTGACGGTATCCACTTCTCATATGCTTTCTTACATTCGGTCACGCAGTGAAATTTGGCATCAATATTAAAGTTCTCATTCTCTAGCTTTTTAAATCAGTAGAGCAAATGAGCATTTCATCACATATGCAGGTGCTTCTACCTAGATACATTAAATCCATTTTGTAATAGATGCGGAAGCAACAGCCAAATGTATCTTTGCCGCTAGCTCACCTTTAGGTCGTGGGGCACGGCCACTATTCGAAGACCCATCCGTGTTTGGGAACCGCCAATGAAAATAGGATTTTTTTTTGTTTTTGAAGCGTGTTCTTAAGATTTTCTCCGCTACTGAGTGGATCAGAAACAATACTCAAATGACTATTATCGGCTTCATTGCGCGATTTATTTGTCCATGAGATAGATCAGTACTCCATCATCAAAGAAATTATCCAACGATTATTTGTCACAGATGTTTAATATAGCCTCTTTTTATGACGAAAGAATCAAAGGAAGTGATCAGCTCTGTTCTGATCGTTGCGAGGAAACTATTGCCAACGCACCTGTACATCTTAGCAAGGCCACTAAACAAGGCCTTGCACTCGGGACCGATAACGGCAACGATCTGTACTTCTCTCTCTTGTTTCTCCCCGTGCCCAAAAGTACGTCGTATTTTAGGATGTCTTTGCTGTAATTTCTATAGATAGGCAGAAATTCAATTGAAACGATTAATTATCCCAAATGCAAGGCAAATGACGTTTCGACAAATGGCTCACATTATCGCTTGTGTGTCTGGGATCTCCGGAAATAATTCTGCGCCCTCTACTCCTCGTTTTTTACAACTTTCCCAGAGGTCTCTGTGTATAGCACATGTAAATTTTTTTGTCATACCAGTTTATGGTGAATATAAGCGTGCGGTATGGCTGAGCCATCAATTTGATGTTTTGCTTTATGCGGTAAACATGTTTAGGTTTGTATTTAAATTAAGAAAAAGCAGGGTAGTTTCGTCATCGCAGGACGGAAACTGAACTTCATCAACACCAAAGGTTCTGTTTCCATTTCGCTCTGAAGTGCAAATGGATTTATCAACAGATTGAAGAATACGTAATTAGTTGACGATTGCAAGCGTACCGCATGCTCAAGTTTTTTTGTACCAAATCAGGTTTAGGAAGTTAAGAAAGTTTCAATCCTGTAATCTGTTTTCATAGAATTGCATAACTTTCGTGTGGAAAGGCTGCCAGGACCTCTCTTTCTATGTTTTGAGTTTTACGTTTAATATCGCCTAGAAAATTCATCAGATGGCTGGGTGCCAGCACGAAACGAGAAGTGTCTATGCCAGGTTTCGAACCCACAGCACCTCACTGACACACTAATCGGATATGGACTAGCCATTGTCGTTGCAATGGTCAAGTGTCTCGTGCTGGCGTCAGCGCTCACTTCCCGTTCCCCGAACTTTGTCGTGTGTTCTTATACTGATATTGATTTTCTTTTCGGTCACATTGGTCAACTCTCGGTTGAAACGCCTTGGCCTAAAACAAATAAGTGCCTATGTTCTAGGCTCTTACGAACCGCTTCCGTATATCTTTGTGCTGAGAGGCGCGTTCATCAGCCAACTCTGCTGCAGACGTGGCCCTAGCTCACCGACCGAGAGGGCGCGAGCCGCGTTTAAGCCTGACCTATCGTCCTCCTGCACTATTTTACTGAGACCTATATATAGCATCGAAGAGTTCCTTCCAACATGACCATTACACCCGACACCCGTTTGTCCGAATTACGTGTAGCGTCAAATAACTGTACACTCGAGAAGTCAGTATGGTGAGAATCGGCTGCTGTTCTCAGCGTTGGAAGCTCTTCATCGATATACAAGTCGTTGATAATCTTGACAGAGTTGTTTTTGTTCGGGCAGCGTACGAAGATGCCGCCATTGGCGCCCTAAAGCACAGAGACCAATCTGACGCTGTGAAGATATTTTGTTCAGTGCAAAATTCAAAAACTAGTCTAGAACAAGTAAAGGTTGCCTTGTATTTCAAAAGAAAAATTGTTTGCTGAAAGAATTTTCAGAATGTGTAAATTACAGGCTCTAGATAAAGCTGTTTCTCGCAACAGTTATCTGGCACAAACAGTAATTTGTTTATAATGTTTTTCCTTGAATAAATGCTGAACATTCATTCGGTTTAGCAGATCGTCATGAATGAATTATAGTCGCTCCAAGCTAAGTGGTAAATTGTAGCCAACAACACCAAACCAATGGAGAATTCTATCAGTTTCCTCAGAACTTACCTAACTACGCACCGTATTTCTTTATACGTGTTGTTTCTTACGGACCGGCATAAGGAGCAGGTTTGTAGTGGACTGCAGACCCTAAGCAGTAGCTGCTTTAAAGATTCCGCACGTTAGCAAAGATAACGTTCTACGACGATCTACTGCCAAGTGAAACAGGTCGAGCATTAATTATGATTCATCCACCGTAGATCGACGTGAAGCTCTGCTCCGCAGTGTGAAGTCGGCTCTTCAGTGGCCGAAGTACTGACTCCTTAACAAGTTGCGTTTCTTTCGGAAGTAGTAAGGTGCAGTAATAATGTGAGCACCGTTGTTTAGGGCCGATTTGATGGCACTATCGAGTTTTACGTCCGGTGTTGCCGTTGGGCGTTCCATCAGACGGCTGGCTCCCAGCGTGAAAAAAATTCAGCGTGTTTATGCCCAGATTCGAATTGAAACAACACGTGTCACAAAGATTAGCAGGCAGATAGGTCGCCCATCACGCTATCACCAAGATGGAACCGCTAATGGCGGCACTGGACGTAACACTTGAAACACAGAAGCTTCTATATCCATCCGCATCGTTGATAAACTCTAATTATGACTGAAATTGTCTGTAGTGTGGTGCATACATTAACAGTATTATTAAGGATGCCTTATGCTCAATGAGTCTTTTGATACGAGGCTGAGAACAATACGACGCGTTGGCGCATTCGTACTAAGCTGAGTTGAACCTTGGAGCAGCTTAGATAACTCAGTTTCTCCATTAAATTAGCACCGGCCGCGCACGGATTTGGTGTATAACAGCTCATGTAGCCCTTATTTAAGTGCACTCAAATAACAAATGCTGTGAGTAAAATCTAACCGTGAAAAACGTTCGACGGGTTATAGGCTAAAAGGGCACCAGTTACCATTTATCAGATTTCTATTTAAATAAGTCAGCTTAGTAGGCAACTTGAGGCACAAGTGCCGTGATCCTATGGGTAAAAGCGTTTAGCATTGTTTATTGTCACTCCACATAGTCCGCATATATCCTTCTGTGTGACTGAGTGTCCGGTCCACGTACAGGGCATATCATTTTAAGCTTAAACTGTACGAAAGTAGATATCATAGGCACCGTAAATTGTCAGTTTAGGCTATTTAGTCATTTGATTAGATTTTATGGTGTTATAAAGGTAAAGACTGTTAAAGAAACTTATTGAAACTGAAGAAACTAAAAGTAATTTCGCTTTTTACGAAGTCGTCTTTGATTGAATTCTGTTTAACATAAATATGATCTTTAAGGTCTTAGACGCGCGTGGAAAGTTCAGGAGTGTGATTGTAATAAGAAAGCTATATTAGGTCGCCAGCGAAATACACTTACCGGTTAAACGCATATCCGTATGTCCGCTTCGACACAACCGCATTCAAGACTTCACTTAGCAACAACAACAACAACATCGACAACGAAAGGCATCTGTTCGATGATTTAACGATTCAGATGATACTTCGTCTCTGATCTGAATCGAGCGTTTTTACTTGCGATGTTAATCAATGCTTAACTTAACACGACAAAGTAACAACACGACATCAATGTAGTGGCGAGTACGGCTTCTCAAACTGCGCTCCGGGTGAAGGAAGCACTTAGCGCCAATTATTTGAATGGGTAAATAATCGTTGTCGTCGTCGTCGTCGTCGTTGTGGTCGTCGTCGTCGTCGTCGTTGTGGTCGTCGTCGTCGTCGTTGTTGTTGTTATTGTTAGTATTGTTGTTGTTGTTGTTATTGTTGTTGTTGTCGTCGTCGTCGTCGTCGTCGTTGTTGTTGTTGTTGTTGTTGTTGTTGTCGTCGTTGTTGTTGTTGTTGTTGTCGTCGTCGTCGTCGTCGTTGTTGTTGTTGTTGTTGTTGTCGTCGTCGTCGTTGTTGTCGTCGTCGTTGTCGTCGTCGTCGTTGTCGTCGTCGTCGTCGTTGTCGCCGTCGCCGTCGTCGTCGTCGTCGTCGTCGTCGCCGTCGTTAAAACGTACTGAACAGTAATCCACTACCAAAAGATGGGCATATTAAGGTATCGAGACCAGACAAGAAATGAGCATTAGCAAATGACGTGGCCTATTGCTTGCGAAAATAGATTAGCAATGTAGGCACTGGTTTTCGGTTCTGTATGGTGGATTCTCTAAGATGTGATGCAATACTCTCGGCCCAACCAAAACGTATCGCAGTTGACTTTGCTGCCGAAGCATGGCAGGACTAATGCGTTTGTACCAGCTTAACCGTAAGATTATCTTGTCTCTGCTACATTGATCCTTAGTACATCCCAGCTAGAGAGCGCACCAATAGTCGTCCTAGCATTAGTGTTTTAGAGTAGCCCTGCTGAGAGTGGCTGGCTCCGGTATATAGTTGAATTCTTCCAAGCGCAACATGTAATCCCATTGAAACTAACAACTCCATCTTGAATGTTGCTCCTCATTTAGACGAGAAACCAAAGGATATACACTTTTACGCCGTGAACGGGATCGGTACACGCTTGCATCTAATTTTAGATTTCGTAGCACTATCGGTATGAAAGCAGTAGATAAAAAAAACTCATAGCCGTCTTGCATATATGCTGGTATACACTGGAGAGAACTATACAGACGACCAGACTTTTCAATTTGGAGCCTTAAGGACCTCCTAAAGTACGAGGCTACAGTAACGCTGCCAGTGAAGGGGTACTGGTGGGCAAATTCATTGTGTCGTTCACTATGTACATCTTTATGAGGTACTGACCAGCGCTACTTTGACACTGGTAATGACACAAAATAATGATACATAAATTTTTGTGGATGAGCTTCTGTTGTTAATTCTAAGTTGCATTGATGCTGTTTCCTGTCTTAAGCCATACGGTAAACGGTGACCAATAGAACGCCACTATGTGAATAGATACAAACATTTATTAACAGATGTTCACTTTATATATATATATATATATATATATATATATATATATATAAGCATTATAAGGCTCGAGACATATTTACCTAAAGTCTATCATAGGTTATATCTATATATACTTAGAACACGAATTATCAGTGGTATACATTCACCTTTTGGTAAGCTGGTAAATAGTAGGTTTCGTAAGCTTCTTTCGTACGTGTAATAAAAGAATATATGATCAAATCCACACTTAACCTTCAAAAAATTAAATGCTATTCGCTAAATGTTCTACATATATGATTCTAAGGGCTAAGAGAACCCTTGTTAGCGCTTATCGCAGCTTTTTCCTTTTACTGGAGGCTATCCGCAATTTTTTTCACCGTGCTCCGTTCATCTTGCCAGCCTAGTTTTCCAGTACGATCATCTAGCATTGACTTTTTACTCTGATTTGAATCGAACCCACGTTGGGGCCAAGTATTCGTTTATTAAACGCACCCTAACTGAACCAATCGGTGTAAAAATTATATTCCAATGGGGTTACCCAATAAGATTACTTGCTTTAATTACATTTCAATAGATATTTTAAATTGCCTTCGTATGTCTATTTGAGGCTTTTGGCTAGTGGACGCCTGTTGGAATAGCGCCAGCTTGTGAGTGACGATACAACTGGGAGCTACATTGTGGTAATTGAAATCAATAACAATTGAAATATTTTAAGTTTTACCGAAATGCTAAACGAGTCAATTATAAGGTCATCAGCAAACGTCGTGTTGTATCAAGGACACACATCTGTTGTCAACACATTGCATACACCCATAGTGCTAGCGCTATATACAGTAGAAAAACTAATCCCGATACCAAGCCGGTTCACTCTGTCTAGGTGGCTCAGTTTGTTGAACATAGTAAATAGGTCAAGATCATTTAACAGCATGAGGCTGAATTCGGGTCTCATAAAATGGTGGCTGAGCTTATATCAGTGCTACATATACACATACATGTACACATATAATAATTAGCAACTTTTTTTCCGGTAAGATTTTATGGGAGCTACCGTATTGTCTCAATATACAATCTATGTACCTTAATTTGATTGATGTTTATACTGTGGCTGTATTATGCTGTTTGGGCGTCACACTTGAATGTAATTGATAGACTAAAATGGGTCTGCATGGAGATAGCAACTAATCTAGTCCGTAGCGCCAGTTGGGCATCGTAAATCGCTAACGCGTTTCCAATCAGCAGTGTAATCGCCTGCAACAAAACAAGCCACAAACTCCCCGTGCGTTAGACTGATAAAAAGGTCTGTGTCTATCAGCAGAGTCTAAATTGAACGCAACGTCTCTAATCGTCAATGAAAACGTACGATGCGACCTGGCAGCAAAAATGAAGTAACACCGTACCCATATGGCTAATGAAATACGCAATACAAGGGCAATCTTTCTAAGGGAAACGATTTTTTTCTACCTTAATTATCATTTAAGAAAATCCAGCTAAATTCTATTAACAACAACAACGATGGGGAGGTGGCAGTGTATCGGTGATCACTGTTCTCTTAATTCCCTTTTTGAATGCATTCGTATCTATAAAATGCTTACAATTACCGCAGTGATGGTCCTCTCGCTGCGGGGCGCTATAACTGAAAAACATATATACATACATACACTAATACGTAATTTAACTAATATTATAAAATTAAAAAAATACTTCAATGGTAGTCGTGATAGATGTGGTGCGCGTGTTTACCAGAGGGAGCTAACAAACCTTAAGAGATTAATAGTCTGTCGCATGTTCATTGATTAAGGAGAAGCAGAGTTTCCTAGCGAGAACTTACAGCTCTGGAAGAAGAACTGAATGGCGATATAGAATTTTCTTTTCACCAGGTAGCCTCATCTTATTCATCGGTAGCATCAATCTGTAGTGTACCTTCAAAGAGATCAGGGAACAGCCGGGGAAGTCGGACAAAGAGTTCATCATCACAGCCGAAATCAAAATGATCCACGTTTGGGCCACTTTCTTGCAGAACTTTATTTGCAAGTCTGAGAAGATGAAAATGGTACCGAAAAAATTAGCACTGGTAGATTTTTGGAATAGCGGGAGGGGAGGGGAGGGGGTAATACTTGCTTAACATACCATTATAGAATTGATCGACGCAACCCTTATTTCTATTTAGTGAAGCATAGTGACGCTAGTGGAATCATCATCATCACAGAAGCTTATCTTTTTTAGATGTTTTTATACATTTATTTTATATACGCTATAAACTAGAACTGAAAAATCCGAGACGTCAGCTATCCTGTAAAGTGAGCTACTCTAGTAAACACCCAACCTCGATCGTTTCACAAAATCGCATTAAATTACTTTGAAGTTATAAGAATTTCATGGCACAAAAACAGTATACATCACTTCTATCAGACGGGTTTAGATTTTAGCCAAACAAATTCTGGAATCTACGATATTTGACAGTAAACGATTATTTACATAACCGCTGACAACATAGCCACGCTTTTTTCCCGGTCCCGTTAATTCATGCAGGAAAAATTCGAATTCGGCTCACGTTCCCATGTCCCTGATTCATCGTATCGTTTTTGTCTCTGTAGTATAAAATAAAAACACTATCGAAGACCTTTTCGAAGTAAAATTTACTAGAAACGCACGTACTCTGCATGTTGGTCGGTCACGTCGCGCCCGTCGCCTGTTGAGTCCTCCGTAAGGCTTCTGTAACCATTGTATCCTGGCTCGACTGCATGGATGGGATGTTTCAATTTAGCCTGATCGCTAAAGCCTTCCTCAGTTATTATTGAAGCCCCATCACTATCCTTATCTATTGGTGTTTCCGTTGAAAAAATTGACTTCGTTGAGTCTGCAATCTATTAACATATTCGTTATATCTATTACTAATACATTTTTGGCGTGAAACTTGTAACAAGAAATCTATTGAGACACTCTGTCAGTTCCACTATGCCTGATTAGCTCCACACCAATCTTGCATCCTCTAGTATGTCATCCTTCATTTTCTCAAGATTATGGCGCACATTATACGTTCTTTTTTTCTTTATTTAATGTGTTCATTGAGTGGTATGTCACTGATATTTTCGACAAGATCCACTTAATAATTCCCTTAACACATTTTCGCTGTGCATTTTGCAAAATAACACTTTTAAAAACAGACTCCTCTAAATATAGAACAACGTAGATGTATTCATTACTGCATGTCTATCTATATTTTAGCTGTACAATGGTCAGCCAACGTCCTATCTTTGGCATGACTTGTTCCCCATATTCATTAACTGGCAAGTAATAATTATTGCCACAGACCATTTCCTATTTGGGACAATTAGTAGCTTAGTATGACATACCTTCGCATCACGTTCAGACCGTTCCGAACGTTGATTCTTTTGCATAGATTGGCAATGTTCTATGCTGTGATGTCGGTCGGCGGCTCTCGTAGCTCGAAGTGAAACCTGTATTCGATATAGAAAGGTGACCACAATAAGTAGATCAGATAATGACTGGTATAACATTATGCACATCACGAAAAAGGGCTTTTGCAGTACATATTTGTAAGTACAGTCATGATTCCTCCATTCCATTCTATACGAACAGCAAGGCTGCTCCCGGCACATTGCGGTTAATTCGACCTGAAGCAAGCCCAGACTTACACACCTGGGTTTCATTTAGCTAGGGATTATGGTAATATTAATATTTGCGGTGCACTTTTTTGCACTCAGCCGCGCTACCATAGTATGATTCCCAATATACAGTTGTATGTCGTTTCCATTCGTGGTCAGCTGCCGGATGCGGAGCGTTGTGCGGTCAACCTTCCCCACAGCTTTTCTTCGCTCGAACCGCACGTTCACGTGTCATTACTGATTACGAAGCAATCAGTGTGAATTCTGTAGTTCCACGGGGTCCCGCCTCCCGATCTTCCTACATCCGGAGGACTTTCTGGGCGGAATACGAACGACATCCCCCATAGATTTTCACTTGTAAAAGTGCTGAGCAAAAACCCTATCCAAAGCACGTGAGCGGTGCCCTTCTGCCATCAAAGACTTTAACCTGTCCGTGATCGTTGGATCACACACTCGATTTGGCCGTCTTACCATGGGTGTCCATTAGTCGTCTTGTTGTGTCCAATGTGATTCTGCCTGAGGTGATATGTGACCCCCGCAATATGAGATAAATCGCGTTGTCCGTCACGATGGCACCGAAGCCACCGAGGACGCACTGCGCAGCAGAGGGTTCAGATAACGGACAATCGGGTGCATGATCGACCAATACCAAGACCTAAAAAGCCTTACCGTCTGGGGTTTTAAGGAACTTATGGAGGTTATTCTTGCTTTTTCAAAGAGGCGTTTCCGGGGGGTGCATCGCGTCACCCTGAGTTTCGAGAATCTCCCGGACCCACATTGTAAACTCGGCCCCTATAAAAAAAGCGCCCGTTAGCGCCTGGCAACGTCTTTCCGAAGACAACATGCTCTGCTACCTCCTTCGAGTAAGAAGAAATGATGGCTTCGTTGACTGGTGGCAACAACGTTGAAGTGTTTCCCACGCATGCAACGGCCCAAACTACGGTTAAGCTGCAGGTCTCTGAGAAGTGGCATCTAGCCTCAGCGTCAGTCACACGGAGGCTAACGTAAGCAACAATTTGCCTGCGCTGCCCCTAGCCTGGTTTAGCTGGCGTACGTGTGTGACTTTGTTTCCAAATGCGTTCTCTGCCGAAGGCACAAGAGGTTTTCCCTTGACCTTGAATCGCAGCATTCGACAGGCTCGTCGTGGTTGGCGTCTCAAACAAGCTTTCCGCGTTGACCACGACATCGAGTAGCCATCGTATGAAATCTCATATAAACTCTATAGGAGATTAGACTAAAAAAGCCCTTTGACCTCTCACGCGACGCAGGAGTCAGCAGGGTCCCCACCGCCTGAACCTTCTATCTGGGGAAAGCCCGACGGCCGTGATATTATATCCTAAATGCACCACTTCCTGAGTTGCACTAGTACATTTCTTTGGTTTAAACTGCAAAACAGCGAAGTCAACGGCAGCCAGTGCTTTTTGCAAATGAATCATGTGAGAGTTGAAGTCAAGTGAGTGGAGTACGATGTCGTCGAAGTAAATGAAAGCTAGTATTTGGACCCAAAGACCCAGCGGTTTTGCCTCTCAACCTCTGAAACATCGCGAGTGCGTTGGCAGGACCAAATGGCATATATTTGATTAGGAAAATTCCCTGGCGTAGAGAATGCTCCCTTGCCATCCGGATGCACGCTGGTCTGTCAATATCCGTTGACCAGCTCTAGGGTTCTAAAATGGCGGACGCCGGCGACGGCACCGATCCATGAGGGGAAGCAGGCATGCTGCTCGTTTCGTGATAGATTTCTGCCCGCACTTATCGTCTCATCTTTTTCCTTACTTTTTAGTTACCTCAAAGTATCACGGGCTAAACAAGACCGGTATTGATGAATCTGCTCGGCTCCCTGAAGAGATAACCGGATCTCCCTCCATTTGTTGATGCTATCTCTGTGGATCTACTCGTGACTCCTTTTATTTTCCCAGAGTAAGCAAAATCGGTATAACTAAGTCTGTCCGGTTCGGGATGTTTTGAGCAAGATCGGTATGGATAAGCCTGCACAGCTCCTTAAACAGGTGGCTCTATTAGCCCACGCGAAACTGAAAAAGTGAAGAACCTCCTTTGTTGATAGGCTCGCTATATTTGCTTAGGACGACGTAACTTCTTACCCTCTTGGTAGGATACTTTCATTTCTTGCCCTCCTGACAGGGTAATATAATCTCTTACCCTCTTAATGGGGTAACTGCCTTTTTTTATAAACTGAAATTGTCAAAAGTGCCTTGCCCAGGATCCGATCCTGTGTGACGCTCTCGGCGCTGAAGAACAGCTTCTCTAGCCTGTCGTCAAGCGCGACCAAAACCGTCAAAAAGCGCTGGAACTCATACAGAAAGACTGAGCCCATCTTCGTCTTGCAATATATGGCGAGCGTAGCGTATCTATTAACCGTAAATGGATCGCAATAAGGCACAAATGGATCATCAGTGGTCCAGTTATAGTATTAGTGCAGCTTAGACTCCGATGACATATACATATGTATGCAAGGTGAGGGTAAGGGAATTCGCTGACCCTTTAAAGCACCATAAACTCAAGTGGATATTATCGGTGGTCAGTTTCACTAAAAACGCAATAACACGTATAAGGCGCTAATGGCAAAGTAGTCAGAATGAAACTCCGAAGTTATTTGTAGGATCCGATGAAAAAAGAGACTTAGTGTAGAGAGCCATCTACTATGATCTAAGCGACGCTGAAGTCAAAAACGCCCATTTAGGACGCTACTTCTCATTGAGTGTGCCATTCTTTAGAAGCCGCGCTAAATAGCCAGAAAAATCAAACCAAGAGGGTCGCTACCGTTTAACAGAGTTAAGAGGAGTATTAACATCGCATAACAAAAAAGCCAGCAAATAGCGTACGTTCGCTTCAGTCCCCTGATCTGGGAGCATTCTACTGAACTCATCTAAGAGAACCTCAAGGTAAGTCAGTTGTGTAGACTGAACAGGTTTTAGTCTGCTCTTCTCGTTTTTTTTTGCCGTAACCGCTACATGTATTTGCCAATGGATGCGTCGCAATTTGTCGAGGATGTAAAACACTAGTTTGGTTTGATAATTCTAGTCGAATTAATCCTACAACGGAACAAACCGGTGGCTGAGGTAAACCCGTAATCTTTTGCCACTGGTGCTTTGGTGGGAATAAGATGAAACGAACCACAACGAGTACATCGACATGCGGCAGTCCATCATGCTGTATGTTCTAATAACTTGTACCATGAGCTAACTGCAAGTTGCATACATGTCCGACACAAAAGCCTCTACAGATGATGTTCTGTAGGCTCATGTTATAGGACGCCTTCCTTGAGTCGAATCGTGCAAAAAAGAGTCGATACAAGTGTGGACACTATAAAATACATGTAAGCCCAAGTGATATTTGGAATCAGCATATGACACCAAATATAAGAACTTTCTTAACACAATAATAACCACGCTAGGTAACATAAGCATGAGTTCATTCCCCAAAGCACGCGCGTTAAACTGAAAGTCAGAAATTAAACTTTAACATACATTATCCATATACATATTCCAGTGACTGTAGATACCAGCTAGAGCCCGTGGCACGGCAAAACCTTTTGCCCCCAAGGAAAGGTGTATTCGGGAAAAAGTTCACCTTTAGACTGGTTACTGCCGTTGATTAATTACACAGACAATATCCCCATCATCTACTAGCACTCGAGCGTCTCCTTTTTCAACCGCTATCGGATCCCCTTCAAAATGTCCGATGGCTCGTAAAACCTCGGATGAGGACAGCTCTAAGTGAAATGCTTCATCGTTCACATTCCCGAGCATCACCCTTAACGATGTGCAAAGCTCGCTTGGGACTTGCTCAAATTGAGGTGCCCCTCCGATCAACTCCTACGATGCGAATTTCGTTACTATTACTCTATGATAAAAAGTAAAATAATGAAAAGTACATTTTGCCGTTTCGTTAGTTAAGCTAATATGTCGTTAGTAAAGCTGATGCCTTCGGGTAGCCTAACTATTAAACATGAGTTTACTTCAGCATGAATAGCACATAGGAGCGCTTCTGTTCCATTGAGTCGATTTCTACTCGAAAAGATCATACCATTTGAATATTTCTGTCTTATCCCATACGATAATTGTAAACATTTTAAACTCGTTGAATTTCTCCAGCTTTCGTACATAAAACCGTATTGCGAAAGTCATGAGTGTATCAGACGTGAAAAGTAAATATTTGAGTATACTTTGGAAATACATAAGTCTGCTTTTGCCACCTTCCTAAGTTTTCAGATCTTACTCCATTGATAACTATAGTAATAATCAATTTATTCAGTTATACATAGAAACAGCATATACATAGAAGCGTTAACACTTACTCGATCCATAATGGCGATTCTGTCCGTCTGTTCTCGGTCACATTCAACACCGTCCTCAATAGCTGCCTCCTTGAATCCTTTTGCCGAGGCAGAAACGATAGCCCACAGAAAGGTGTTAAATACTGTATAATGTTCTAATAGATATTTTTCTAGATCGAACATCCTGAGTGCTCAAGTCTATTTCATCTATCTATATCAAGAAGTAATATAGATATTTATCATTTGCAGTATATTGTTCTCGTTTTTACCACATCGTTTCATTCTATGGCATTTAATAGACATCTCCCACTTCAAAAGTTATCTATTTTTCTTACACAGTATTGTACGAAGACTATTATAATAATGAAAGGGTTTGTTCGGGATCTTTCCTAATATCGTGTACGAAAGCCAGCGTCAAGTTACCGCAATATGATCGTACTTTTGAACTGTTAATGCGGAGCCTTATGACACGAATGAATATCAGCTCTAGGTTAACAATTTTCCAGACCCTGTTAGTAAGGCTGCCTCAATTTACTTGGTATCACTACCACAAATATCTATTAGCCCTTTAATCTACCAACAAATAAAATAACAAGCAGATCATTCTTAAAACGAAAAGTCTTTGAAGCTACAGCCACCAGGACTGATAGTTTTTTTTTTTTTGTTTCGTCTAAAATTTGCTCTCTATATAGTGTAGGCTCCTATTAGTTTCCACTCCATTTAGGGTTTGTGAAGGATACTCTATTTGATGAACATGCACATCAGAACTATTTATAAAAACAGATAATCTTACTGTTTGTTGAAGTTTTTATTAGTTTTCCCGAGCCCATAGGGGTTACGTCCGTTGTTTCGGTTTGTGCCTTTATTGAAGAACTCAATTGGTGAGGCATGGCTGTAGCCAGGCATTCCGTCGATAGTTCTTGGCACCCCGGAGCTTCTTGTTGACTGGGGGAGTCACAAAGCATATGGCGTACTTACAGGTAGGTTAGCCTGCATTAGCTGATATCCGCTGACTGACATTATGAAGTATGCTATTCTAATCATTTGAAACTTCATATATGGCTTCATTCACTATCATTATCATTTATGTAATCGAGACTCGTTAAAAAGAGACCGCACTTGTACAGTGGTAAATTTCGTTTACAGCGGTAAATTGCTTCGTTTTATGCAAAAAAAAAAAACTTAACCCTAAGATTCGGCTTGTCCTGGTCAAGGGATAAGCGATCAACATCGAATCGTTATATTACTACCTCTTGGCAATTGCCGATTATCTATATTTATTTTTGTCTTTTTTTCGAATATGCGTCTTATACAGCTGAACAAGCAAATGGTTGCTTTCATTTTGTATTCGTAATATAGTGGCTAGGTTTCGTGAATTTCGTTTTGTAAAAAGACTTTGTTAAATTTTCCTATTCTAATTTAAGGTAGATAGGATAAGATTGACGTTCTAATAACTACGCTTTCTAAGACCAGAAGGTCCAAGCTAAATTATCGACATTTGCCCATTTGGGAACCCAACTAATAAACGATCGCAACGAGACCTTAAGTATAATATGTAGTGATTGTTCGCGGTGTACTCGATTTGAGGAGTCCACTATATAGATATATAGAGCGCACTCCAAAGCAGTAACTACTAACTGCGAAACACAGACAAAAAGTCGAAATGAATGTAAGACACTTCAATTTGGCCGTTATCGAAACAAAAAAAAACCTATCTATGATCTTGTGAAATATAGTCGCAGCTACCTGTAATGCTTTTCACACGCTAGTTAGGCCGCGGGTAAGAAGATAGATAGTTACGCAAGATGCAGATATAATTATGGAAAAAGCAAACAGGAATATATATGGATAAATCGATTATATACATTCACGCAATGAACTTTCAAATAACTTGACCACTAACATATGATCGCACTTTGGGAGAAAGCACGTAATACGTTCATTGTCTCTTTTAAAAAAGCAGAGAAGACGAAGCATGATTAACTTAGATCTACCGCAGTACGGTATAAACCATGCGCAGTATCCTTACTTACTTAAATTACCGTTCATATACCAACCTGGCAGACTTCGGAGCGCCACTTGTATCTAGTAACGAATTTTCATCGTATATAATAGGATCCATTTTTTCGCTGGTTGCGTTCGTGGAAATGTCGCAGTGATATTGTTCTCGTCCTTCAGTGACAATGTACTTGTTAGTGGATGAAGCTCCGTTAATTGTAGCATTTTGCATGGCATAGGGCTCAGGAAGTCGTTCTAATTGTTGAGTAGGCATTTTTTTTGCCCCCAGTGTCATATTTTGCCAGTGGTCATTTGCAGGCAACGCTATGATGTCGTTATTAGTACTACTGTGGTGGCCTGCTTCTTGCCTAATCTTCATCGTAAAATTTTCGGATTGAAGCTGCTGTTGGACGCCACTACCGATGAACACCTCCGTGCCGCCCTGATTACTCTCGAGCGTTCCTGTCGTCGACGAGAATCCAGCGTTTAGAATTGGGTGGGTCGTGAAAGCGTTGAGGCGATCCCTGTCACCTTCGATCGAGTTTTTCGGCAGCAATGACTGCCAGCCCTCGTACCTACTTATCGTATGTACATCTTTAGATTGGCAGCCCTGACCGGTGCAGTAAACGGCAGAACCGTCTTGCACTTCCATTTTAACATTCTCCCTGCCGTACAGATAGTACGCGTGATCTGAGCTCTGGGATGTAGTTAGCGCATGTATGTTACTGCCGTAGATTTGCGAACCGCTGAAAGATGGCCACCAATGCGTGCGGTTGTAAACGGGACCACCAATGTCACAACCATGACCTAAACGCAACACAGTCTTATTGTTTCGGATCACTTTTTCTAACCAAATTAATCCAAAGCGTAAAATAAAAGTGAAATTTCCCGCTGAGCAGATATAAAAAGCTGACGATTAATAGAGCTAACCTCAGGAGGACAGTTTAGACACCTATAGGTCGTTCGCGTTCTGTATTATGTAATATCAGTATGGTCGGAAATAATGCATTCAAAGATAAAGTTCTTCCAGAAGAAATTTAGTGCAAACGCTTCTCACCCACTTCTAAATGAGCAATCATGTCGTATCTACTGTCCGCTTGATATCCGCACATTTCGCATTGTAATAAGTAGCGATTCCATCCATTGGCTGATTGACCTACGAACTCGTTGTTCCACGACTGAGATGAACTGCAGATCAATGGGCCAGACAATTTTGGCAAGGTTGACGCTGCGTATTGACTCTGGTTCATATATTCCTGACCTGAATATGTCCCCATATTCCGTATGGATGTGCTGTTTAAATGAAGTGGCAAATTATTATATTTAACCAGCTCTAGGGAGTCGTGCATCGATGCCCCTCCGCTGTAGCCTAATGTCAGGGGGCCATAGCATCGTTCAACTAACTGGGAAGAATTTGCATACTGAGACATCGGCAGCGTCTGATTTAGTTTAGGGAATTTAACGTTTTCCGTGACAGGACTCATAGTCGTCAGGGGTGGTGCATTAGGGTTTACTCCCCCCACATTTGCATCATTGCTGTACGTCTTATGAGAGATCTGTTCGTTCGTTTGGACAGTTCGAACCGCCGGCCTCGGATGTTGCCCCAACAGCGAAGCCGGTTGTGTAATCCCATGAGGTACTTGGGTAGCATTTAAAAAGTCGTTGTTAAAGATACTTGTGACGCTTGGTAGCCGGGGTTGGGTGTGTGGCCGCCGAGGCTTTTGATGTTTTAAAGGTTTGCATCGGGGCGGATTTCGGTGTATGTTATGTACTTTGCGTAAATGTATGGTGACGCCTTTCTGCGACAACGATGAAAAATTGCATAGCTCACAGGGAAAGAGTGGCTGCGTTTGTGGAGTCCAACAGGACACCGTCGGACGGCCTTTCTCGTCTTCCATAAAATGGGTTTCAACTTTTGTCCAAGGTATCGCCGTCCGCCGCAACAACACAAACTATAACAAGGAAGTAGAAAAAAACATGTTAAATAACTGGCCTTTATGCAGAAGTATCTTCAGCCCTGAGGAAAATAGTCTGTATTAAATTCATCAGGTTGGATTTACAGACGCTAGTAGATATTTGATTGCATTACAGATTAAATTAATAGGATGTAATATCCCTTTACGAGCCTCATACCTTTAGTAAAGTTACTATTATTTTATAAGCGAGTTAGCTTCATTCCTTTCTCGTCACTTAGGATCTTCAAGTGAGGCGGTACTTGATTGAATTCAGGTGTTTGTCTGACGTTTTAAGCTCTTATCTGATAAACAATATAACCTCAGACAGTATAAGCAATGGACTATGAGAATCATTTGCAAGTTACTCTATCCGATCTAGCAGTTATACTCTACAAACTCGTCTATCTTTGGAGAGATATGAGAAATCAATTAGGATCAATGTGTATTATATACGCTGCCAAGAAAACACTTACCTTGGCAAAATCTGTGTTCATGCACTTCTGTGTCCCACAAGAAAAACATCGGCAATTGCGGATATTTCTTTGGTTTTTGCTTATTCATAAATTGTCAAAATTCTTATAGTTACATTTTGGTCTACCCATTTCACGGAGAGTTTTTTAGGCGACGCTAAGTCAACCGCAGATTAGCAGCTATTGTAAATATAACGGCTGCCTTCGGTGTCAAGGAGAACTTTTTCGCGTATCAGGCAGTTCTGAGCCTACAAATATCCTACAGAAAGCTTACGACACTTTACCCTAAGCTATGATTACATAATTGAATCTATTTTAAAAGTGCAAGAACCAGCACTTATTCTTCCACTCCACTATTTGAAGGCCTTTTTTTTATCATTGGAGTTCTACATCGTTTGCTGTTTCTTCCCACACGTTAAATATTGACTCTGCGGTCTTCCGTGATGTTGTCCCGAAAAAATATTGTTTGCCTTAAAAAGCTGCCAAAAGCAATGCTTGTGCTTTAATTTTTGTTTTTTTTTTTTTTTGTAGTATTCGACACTGTCAATTTCGTCTCGATACCACTGTTATTTGGGGCTTTTTGCCTAATCCAATTTGCACTCTACAGCATTTCCTTGCGATAGCTAAATTCTCGAGGGTCATTTTCTAAACAAAATCAAAGTTTCAAAGACAGGTATGTCTGCCATTTAATGCAATAAGCAGCTAAGATTTCAACGCCTTATGATCACATATCTCATATTCGACATAAGAAACATGGTTGCCTACGTCAGTCATACATCAGCTGGAATAGATTGACGTTTTTACTGCCGGGCGCATATATGTATGACTTAAAAAGGGTTCAGAGTAACTAGACGAAACGATCGTGTCGTGAGTTGTGATCTTCGAGGCTCTACGTTCAGTCACTGTCACAGTGGCAAAACAAATAAAGTTAGTGTAGTTATTCTCTGTAAACAAATAACAGCTTTATCTATCTATAAACACATCTCGCTTTATTACTCTAGAAAATAGCTGGACGGTAGCTGAATGTCGGTTTTTTTTCCCTGCAAATATTCGAGACGGTAGTAAAACTAAATATATAACTGTTTGATATGTATAGCTCGTTTTGTTCTTTGTTTCGTTTCAATGTCGTATATATATATATATATATATATATAATCACTGGAGGAAATGCAATAGAAAAAGAGGTGATGCGAAAAGTTGACTACGGTCGCCTATAGACTCGGCTGCATTGTTGACAAATGCTTCATCGCAGGAAGAGATACAACGCAAACGTTTAAAACCACAACGATGCACTCTATTATGCCAAAACAGAACGATTATAGATGCACTACATTTATCTAGATAGCGAAGAGAAGCACGCGCGGCAATTTTGCACGCTCTAAATTTGGCTATTACGCCGCTCCCTAACGTGATCGAGCGACGGCGTCTAAGTAGGCGTTTAGAGATGATGGGAATGATTCTGCAGTGATACGACATGTGAAAATCATGTTAAACTACATCTAGTTCTGGGCCAGTAATCTATCGCTACCTTGACGTAGCGGATCAAAACTAAGAGTGATCATTTCTTACCTTCAGGTCAAGCGAAGCCAAAGTAACCTATTAATTGGCATATGGAATTGGTTGCAAGTGTTGTATTTATTACAAAGATACGTTTGTAGCGGCACACAAACATTTACACAGCGTACGCACTAATCTTCGAAGACTAACAAGTTTGCGTCGGGGAATCGACGAGCCCGCCACGGGCCCGGGAAGATGTTAACAACAAGCACCCAGTAATAGAGTGAAGATGGAAAACAAGAACCCAAGTATTCACACCGTTCTCTATACTATCATCAATAACAGTTTCGATAAATTTTCTTCGACTCGTACTATCCAAATGATGCTGGCCAAATGATTCTGATAGGCCGGAGCCCTGGCGACACGTATCTGCAAATGGCATGTCGACATTCGAGTCGAGCAGCATCAGATCGATTACGTTGATCGCTGCTGATTCACTTGAAAAGTTTAGTGTTACATCTGTGTTCAGGCGTCATGGTTCGGATAGAACTATTAGATATTTTCATGGTAGTGAAAGCTAAATTCTATTTAGCAACGGAAAGACAAATCATGGCGGGTTGCGATCACTCGATATGAGCGCTAATATAGTTTTCGAAATTGTTCAAACGGCCCTTGCTCATCGTCATCTAGTCCGCCCCCCGACGCTGAACCGAAGCTATCAACTAGTTTCGTCTTCTGATTACTATCGGCTCGCCCTAGACGATCTCGAGCTAATGAACATTTCAATTTGGAATTTCCTCTATTCCTTTCAGGTAGGGCGGCGTCTAACAGTTCAGTGCTCATCTAAAGCTAGCGGAAACGTTATAACCGAATGGTTTGAATTCATTGTACTATTATATACTATATAATTGCTTATTTATTGATAATGATTCGTCTAGGGAAGTCCGTTGTTTATGGTTTGGTACCGTTATGTCGCCACTAGCTTCTGGCTCCGTGGCGGTACCGATGTTGTGCATAACGTTATATAAGGAAAACCCGTAAACCTCCGAGTTGTTGGGGGAGTAACGTAATGCCCAGCTTTCATAACGCGCTGGGACAACGTTGGGTGGAGTAGAAGTTCCATGCTTTAAGTTATTGTCATTGGACAAGTTGAGGTAAACGTGGGTCGACTATAGCGTAGCAGCTTAGCCAACCGGCAGGAAAAAATGACTCCGAATGAAAAAAAGCCAGCTTTATAGTGAACGCAATTCTATCCAGTTGACTCTTTTGCTGATTGCAAAACGTCTACCTATCTAAATCTCAAATCACCATTGCCCACTCGGGATATTTACGTAGATAATGCCTTGAGGCATTATTTGCTGTACTATCATTCAGCTTGTCAATCCGAGGACAAAGCTGGCATATGGTTCCAGTAAGCCCAGCAGCTATCCATATCAGATGTTTTTGCGAATTACATTTTTAGCGCGTGTAGAACGCACATGAGTGCACACTGTTCTAGTTAATTGCTGATCTGCCTAGCATTATCCTTTTTTTTTTTTTTTTCAAAATCTTCGTTACTACCAGTCTTCCCGTTTGTTTCAGCCGGGTGACTGCAAGGAAAAGTGTAATAAAAACTGTAAGGAAAATAATCTGAGCTGAATGAGCTGCTCATCGACGCACGCACGCAGACGCCCACCACGTGCAAACTGATACTCACTTATTTCAGTGCACTTTGGCGGAAACTTTATAGCCTGCGACTACGAAATAGCATTTCCTTGCATGGATTTGTTGGCATTTACCTCGGAACATATCGGTTGGAAGGCGGCCTTATCTCTTTGTCAAGTAAATCTCGGCCATTTCCTTGCCGAAATCATGTTATGCTAGCACAAATATGCCTATATCCGAATGCTTTGTTAGCAGTAACGGTAGCACTCATTTTGTTCGATAGAAGTCTTCTAGACACTCGTTATCTCTTTGTAGTTATGTCGTTTCTGCGACACAGCCAGCCACAAATCCATAATAAATAACCAAATAGATTCTGATTCTACATTGCACGCTTCATATACGTAGGACATCTTTTTTCTTTGGAGAGCTTGTCGAGTATCAAGAACTACGGGGGCTCAAGGCACTAAACTGGTAGTAATTATGACCACAATATACCTGGCGATTTGTTCTAGATGCCCATACGACATATTAGATAGCAAAGATTCAATCAGATGGTGCTCCATCACGTATTAGGAACGAAGGAGGAAGCTAAATTCTGTTTGAATAGTTTCGCTCAGCTTTATGTTGTCTGACATGATGCGCTCGTTTACGGTTCTGCACTTCGAATCTATTATGTCCAACACACTACTATAGCTAATGTATAATAATGTTTCCAAATATAAACAGAACCTTTGAGTTTAAGGCTGGCCGCAGAGCTTTCAATTACTGTGATCAAACTCTATCCTGTAGGCCTTGTTACGACGCTACTGATTGTAGATAGAAGTTAGCTATGATAGGATAAAGACTAAATACAAACGACTGTGTAGTCGAACATAACTAAGCATGCTTGATGCCCTTTAAAATGGGTACGAATTGTATGAAAAGATAAAGAGTACTCGAAATTACTAAACGATATTACCACTATTCAGAAGAATAATCGTATTTTTGTCAAGCCTGTTCAAAGTGGCTCGTGTGCCATTTTTTGTAAAGCTGCCAACAGTATCATCATTGTTTCGTTTCGATGAGTATCTAGAAAGACTGCCAATTGATTGATTAATCCAGCCTTAATACTAGTTGTTTGAGGAAAGTTCTCTACGGAACTTTCCTCAAGCGTAAAGTCGTCCATCATCGCAGTGCTATCACCCTTCTGCAATCGAATAGCTCGTTTGCGCCAATTATTGTACATCACAGCTTTACGCTCGGCTTACGGCATCACAGCTAAACGCACGGCCTAGTAAAAACAATTGGAAAAATCACAATGGGTTGTGCTGGCCATTGGGCATAGCTTCACTGCCCACTTAACCACGAGTCCGGTTGTTGTAAACCATTTAATTAAGTAAATACAAGCTTGTGTTTAGATGGTAAATCAGACATTTAGAAATCGAACTATTATGCATAGTTAAGATTTCAATCAAATGTAAGGGATCTGCTCTGAGTAGATGCTGATTTATTATTTGTTTATTCTGCATTTATACTCCTGATAATTTGGTACAGGGGGGAAATACAAAATGTCTATCTATACATTTTCACATTGTGCTTTTTTATACTGCTTTGTAGGTTTTAGGTACTGTGAAAAAGTTTAGGACAACGTTTAAAAGTATTAAGTAAAGCCCGACATATTTCGGATATGCTTAGACGTAAGATTCAGGAAACGTGCCTGATGTTTGCTATTTGTCCTATCCTCGGCTAGGTCATCACAAAAGGGACACATGTCGTATGTTCTGTGCTAAAGTATTAGCTGAATCACATTTTGCTTACAAAGTTATTAAGTAGAAACCGTTGACCGATTAACAAATATCCAATTAACTATTTGTATTGAGGTGATGAAATTACGTTTTTTCCATTTAGTTCGATGTGATCGTAGTAAAGAATAATAACAGTACATTCTGATCTGTCGATGCGGGGCCTTATGGAGAGAAGCTGGTGCTTCGGCATTGTATGGGCATCACGGTTCTAGTAGCTGCGCTTCATCGAATTCAGTCTAAAATGTTGATGATTACGACTGTGATGCCCTTGTAAATTGTTATAGCTGGTAAGCTTAGGCTCAGGGCACAGAGGACATTAATAGGTAAAGCATGTTAATTGATAGGAATGAGTAAGCCTCTGTCTACATGGCAGTCTCACAGAGAATATGATGAAATCCTCAGGTAACGAAAATTTGCAAAACCTAAAGTATTTACATCTAAAGCGCATTTAAGTTAATATCTGGTTCTTGTAACGTGCAGCTTCTGATAATATATTTAAATTATACGACATACTAAGGGAATAAAAATTGAAATTGAAAGAAATTATAGAGAAACTACTGTTATAACTAGGAGAAGGAATCAAAGCTTAAGAGAACACGTTAAGATAAACATGTAAATTTTACGTGAGGTTCACCTATTACTCGACGTGAAAAATAGACGTATTAGAAAGTTTCGACACCATTTTATAGATAACGTGATGTATATAGTACGATGCTTGCGTATCCCTATAGGAGTTGTCTGTTTCGAGTGCTACAGCTGGTATCGCCATCGGGCGTTCCATCAAAACGAACCGTGAGTCTATTTGAATTTAGACCACAACGGTGACGCTAGGATTAGCCAGCAGATACGTCACCCACTAAGCGAAGGCATCCCGATGGGTTCTAGAATCACGTTACTGGTTATCCCGTGTAGTGTGATTTGATTTCAACTAAATATCTGCGATGGCATATGCCCTACTCAACAATGAAAAACTAAATGGTGTTAGTACTAAAATATCAATAGGCGAGGATTGAATTTATTATTTGGCACCATTTACCATGACGAGCTGGCGAAAAAGAAAATAGTTTTAAACTTAATAATCATGGACAACAACTTGCCGTTCGACGACTTACCTGAAGCGCAATGCAAGTCATACTCGAGGGCTTCTTCTTCCATAGCGAAACATATAATTTCTTAGACCTTTCTTTGATTTGCAGATTATTGCTTCATTGCTGTTACCCAATGTCTTATTGACGAACAACGAAATGTGGGGTTTGATGGCATTAACAATGTGCTGCCTGTATAGCAGATGTCAAATTATGTGTGCCTCTAATGCACTGACTGATTGAATACAAGTCAAAAGCCTCTAGATATCCTCACTTCGCGAAGTTCTTATATGTACGTTAATATCTGCACCAGTACAATGCTAAGTTCACAAAAGATACAGAAGAATAAGCGCGCACTGCCGACCAATGAATAATTTCGATTGAATTGTAAATTATACACTTCTATAGTTATGGTGAGGTATGAGCGACGCAGAATTACTTCTAATCAACAAAAATTATTTGATGTTGTTAGTTAGCTGTTTAGTTGCTGCGTCGGGATTAAACCCCTTAACACAAATACCCAAATTAAAGAAACACTTTTTAATTTCATATAATATTATTTACCATCTAAAAATTATTAGCGGTGGTTTTTCCCCTCTCTTAAATAAATTGTACAAACGAGAACTTTCATGAAATGATATTATATTTAGCGTGAGTCACCGCTGCTATGGTGAGGACACTTGTACAGTCTCTGTTGTCAACCGCTCGTTGTACTATGCTACCTTAGGAATTGATCCAAGTCGCAAATTAGACTTAAAAGTAAAACGATACTGTATTAAACTAATTGTTTGGAGTTTTACATTCGATACCATTTTGGTGTGCGTCAGACGCGTAGCTCGAACAGAGAAACGAGGTGTGTCTACGTTTGGAATCAAATCTAGATCACCCCGCGTCGCTCCATCACGGGAAATAATATAGCTCTGCCAGTTTATGTAGAGCATTGAGCATTGTAGGGCATGAAGTATTGTTAAATACTTCAAAAAAAGAGCATTAAAAAGAGGTTACGAATAAATAGGAGCAGCGACGACGCAGCCGCCGTCAGTGCGTACGTCTACATGCATGCAGGTGCTTGGATGAAGAGGAAAAATTGATGCGAAAAGATTTTCTCGTGAACCTTATTTCTGCTAGTGTTACAGCTGATCCGCAGGTGGAAATTGGCGCTACATACTCTGGCATTATGTCCATGTTAACCCCTTTTGGAAGGACTATACGCGTCAGATCCAACTTTCCGTGTCAGTCAAGAAAAACGCCATATGGAAAAAAATTAGGACCCCCTACTTAATTTAAGCAGGCATAATTGTTGCTATAGACTAAGGTCCAGTGATCGAATGGTAGAGCTTTAGAATGATCTAGAGTACTCGGTGTGATACGTATAACAAGATCGAACGGTCCAGCGGGACCTTAGACGTTAGCAGGCGCTACCATTAATTATTGCCATTAATTAACTTTCAGGACCGGCAAGGTCATGTTAATTCTTGACAGTATTGCGGTTAATAAGAGCTCGCTTACGCAATTGATCGCCAACATATGTCACTCTCCGCTTGATATTTTTATACAACCGCATAAAAACCCCTATAAATATGACTGTTCGTATTTTCAACGACCTTCGCATGGCGATATTAGGGAATCAAATTTGTCCTGATCTACAGAAGCGAGCTTTCCCCACTGACACGGTACATAGATCGTCGACGATAGGCAGAACGAGCACTATAAGGGTACGTGAGTAATGCTGATGGCCTGATAGACCGCGTGCGCCTAGAAGGTCAATCAGGCAAGCAACAATAGATAATAACATCAAGTAAATGGTAATAAAGAATTAAATTAAGTGAACAGCAACAGCTAGCGTTTTAATGCACATATTGTTTTAGGCAGAGACGGGTAAAAACCGGTAAAAGTCGAGGGTTGATATAATTTATTACATTACACTAATTTTAGTAATTTATTAAATTGTGCAAATTAATCGGTAAATTTTTGCGCATGAACAACTTTATAGTAATAAACGAAACAGCGGACAATGATCGCTTTCCGTTAATTTAAGTTACATTCGATTAACGATTTGCGCTGATGGCCAATGAACTTATTTATTCTCGATAACGTTTTCTAATTAAACCCTTCCTTTTACTCTCAATGTTTAAGACAGCTTTCAATAAGAACACACTGTTATTAACTGTGAGATCGTTGCTATATATCCATGATTAGTAGCCGTATATAAGGCGGCGCATCTGCACATATGAAGCTCAATATGGCACGATGGAACATGTGGAAGTGTTCCACTAAACCCTACTCATAAGAATTCCTAAAAAGTCTCAATAAGACTAACTTTATAAATTACAATAAACGTTTTCACTGATTAAGTCATAAACCAACGTAAAACTGTTTCTCGCTTCTGTATAGTTCGCCTCACCCATACATGTATGAGATAAATGTAATGAGGCCACGTTATTTATAGGCAAACTTTTTTCGCCTCATCAACGTCGGTGGCGGAGCGACACCTTCTAATTAAAAAGCTGAACTTTTGGGTCAGCGTCTTCCTGGATAGAATCCAGCCTACTGTTGGGCGGAATTGCATAGCCCCCAATGAGGCATTTCGCTATCTTGAAATCTATTTCGGCGATCTTATCCTCAGCCGTGGGCCGTACCAGTGCAAAAATATGACTCTTGTCATCTTGCTGTAACTTGTATTTCGCCTCTAGCTGGCGACGAGCCCTCAATTGTCGATGAGCTTGATAAACGTTTTCAAGCTGGGGCGGACTTAGGTGGATCATTGATGCCGACCTTTTACGAACGGGATAACCTGAAATCAGTAAAACCTATATTGTTGTCAACAAGCTTTTCAAAGTAGATTTGTTCACGGAAGTTCATTGTGCGGCATCGGGATATCGCAAGTAAACAAATCAACATCCGGGAGCTTCCAAGTATTTCCGTTTCACTAGAGAATACGGTAGTGTTAGATTAGAAGACAAGTCAAAAACTAATTTACCAATTTACAACTGCCTATCGTGTCAATTGCCTCATTACGTGGGTTATGAAAAAAACATAATGGATATAAACAATTATTTTGAACGGATTAAGTAACCTTTGTGCACGTCCAGCACGGGGCTGACTTTATCAACGGATGACTTACTTTCTAAGGTATAATGTATACCGAAGTCGCTTAGTGATCGAACTTCACGACGCGCAGCAGCCGCCTGTCGCTCGAAATCAGGTTCAGCATCTAATTGAGCAGGAGATGTGTCCTGGTCTGAGCTCGGCGCGTTTGCCTGTGAAGATGTATGAAGAAGATGCGATGTAGCTTCAAGTCGCATTTCAAACTGAGGGTCGGTTACTTGTTGTCTATCCTTTACACAACACAGGTAGTCGTCTGGCGTATCGACATTAATTGAGCTGAGCCTCTCAGCGCGCAGTGCGAGCAAATCTTTAATCATCGTATAGTTGTCAAGCCTGATCCTATGTACAACAGACGCATGTGAACAAATCCCCTCAAAGTCTGCAGCCCACACGCATGTGCACACGGGGCATCGTAGGCACAAAGGACGTCGCTTATAACGAACGGCTCTTCCGTTTCGACCCTGATTTACTTTCGGTGTTGATGTTTCTCGACCTGCCCAAATAAAGTATATCAATATGCTAGACCACGCCAATTGAAGTGTGGTATTTAATACATTAAGTAACCCTAATTAGATATAGTAAGCAATCTCAAACATCTACCGATAAAAGCACAGGATAAATGAAAGATAATACCCGTGTCAACGCTAAAACTGTTCTAATTTGGATTTTGAAGACCAAATACATCAACTAAGTAAGCAACAAGGTGTAAAATGATGTGTGAGTATAAATGTGACAGTTCACGCAAATTTTAAAGTTCTTCCTGATAATTTACATATGTCATAATGTGGTAACATATGGACGTGAGAAGATTATGCACTCGTCGTTTTACCGCGTCTTTAAAAAAATGCATCAGCATAACGCCTCGTGTAACAAGACGCACTAATTACAATTAACTATCTTTCAGGTCGACGGATGTTCTTATCGCACAAATTTTTGCTTTTTCAGAAATTTGTCACAGGACAGCAAAAATAACATAATTGGACTTTTTGATTTACCTTTGCGTCGTACCCTCACGTCGACATGTGGGACACTCTTGCGGCGACACAATTCAGGCGTATGATGATGGTCGAAACCAACCATTTCCGATCTTGAGTTATAGTGTGCCGTCGGACGGATATGAGGATTGTGATGCGTTAGTTCGGCACGATCTGATACCATTTGTGGTTTGTTCCAGGGTTGACGTTCCTCTTGCCTTACATCGAAAAGCTCATCGAGGTCTACATGATGGACGTTGACTATATGTGAGTGTAGTCCATCCCAATCGGATGCTCTTACGCGGCGACATACTGGACATTCGAAACCGTCACGCAAGGTCCGTATACGATAGTTGCTTGCATCAGCCTTCGGAAGTCCAGACCGTGGTGTTGACATCGTCTTTCAATTTTTTGAGCCTTCCCTTATTTGAACAGGGATGCTGAATTCACACAGTCAACAAAAAGGTTCAGGTAAAAAGAGTAGAAAAATCTGAGATAACTTTTAACATTAGCTAAGCATATAATCGTAGCTTCAGTTAGGTCTATGTGTTCTTCAACGAGCTATTACGAATGAACCATCGCTTAACAATGGACTGCATAAGAATTTCGCATTAATAGCAAATAATTTGGTAAACACAGTTAATACAAACCGTATTTTTGCGCTAAAAATACACTGCTATCTGCTACGGTCCGGGCAAAATAGTTGTGGCCTATAGCCACCGTAAAGAGCACGGTTGTCTGCCAGCGTTGGCTTTACTGCAGGATATATTGCTCTCTATCCCGAATTCCCGATTACCATGCGAATGCCCAATTATTCAAAGCTATGTTTTGCTGAATCATCCTTTATAAGCCATAACCGTAGCTAGTTATTAACGTGAGTACGTTCTATAGAGAAATCAATGTAGTGCGTCAATCAAGTTGTTGCAACGCTGCTGGAGTCCATTGTCATGAACAGCCCACACCGTAAATTCTATTGGAACATAACTGCCGTCAAAACCAACGTCAGGTTACGCCGCCAGTATTCAATTAGGTAAAGGCATACATCACGTACTTCGCGTTTTAGATGTTTTCTAGCTTACCGGTATTGCGTAGTACGGGCGTAGCGAAACGAAAGGCGCATTCAAGTAGAACAATACAAAAATGTACTTATACAATAGTTAAGCTCACTAAGTTCTGTAACTATGAGCACAAAGCATTGCCAATATGAACGCACAAAAACATATGGAAGATGAAATTGGACAATATATTAGACTAAAATACCATGCGCGTACGGGCAGCGCACCACTGAGACCCTTCACGCCAGCCACGGAATATCAGCACCGCGACGATCGATCGTTTATAGCAGACATCACTACCGCCATCTTCTTTGCTGTGGCTGACGCTGTTACCCTTGTGACACGTGACCGTTCAAATGATCGCGTATGATTGCCGAAAATTTTCATTGTAGTAGCGGGCCAAGTTCAACCGTGAAGTCGAAGTACGCGCCAAAGACCACAATGACCTGTTTAATTGACTAAATACCTTTGGGTTGAATACACAACTCGATAAGTTTCCTCTTTATCTATCACTCCTGCGGTGCATTCGAGTCTTTCAAAAGATAACCCATCTGGTATTGTAGATGCCAAATGACACATTCATTTACGCCATGGTAGATCATTTACGCCACGTTCTAGTGATAACACTGTGTTGTGCTTGTATATCAAATTTATCATGTACTATAAAAGCAGGCAATTACTAACCAGTGAAGAAATACAATAGATTCTTGATATGTGTATTATCTGTCCTTTCTACTGATCCCGTAAGGCCTTCCAGCTTCAATATACGAAAAGCGAATAGTATCTATGCGCCTTCGGTCTGCAATATTTATCGGCTATTGTCAACTACAGCAGCGGTCAACCTTTTGTAACCTGAAAAATGACTTAAAAAAATGTCGAAGATTTTAAGCGTGCCGTAGCGTTGAAGCCGAACAGGAAAACAACTACATAGAAATATATTGAAGTTGAACGTGAAAGGGACCGGGCCAAAGATAGGTTAGGTTAGGTTAGATAGTTTTCTAAAAATAGATAGAAAAATCAGATAGAAAAATCTGAGGAAAGACGGAAATACCGATACATTTTCTGATTGTGTTTTTCTTTAGATACATATCTTATACGCACAACATCTAACTTACGTGGACACTACGCACGAGCCATATAAGACGGGGCCCTAAAACAATTGTCAGTAGTAAAAAAAAACTCTTATCTAACTTGAAGTCAAATCCCCTGGGTCAATCAAAGCATTTCCCCGTCTATAAATACATAAGCTGATAGTAAAAATATTTGGAAATGTTAAAAAACTTATGATAAAAAGCATTCCTGTATACGAGAACTTTACAGAAGGGTATGCTTTCCAAGAGTAATTTTGGCAACATTGAATTAATGGAAGTTCCCTGTGTCGTGCGATCTGTCATGCACGAGTATATACTCCAGTAAGTCAACTAGATGCTGACATCGAATAATCTTCATATTGAATTGAACTTTAAATCTATAGGACCAAATAGTATCACTTTGAACTGAATAGTTATCTTTGGAGTGGACTGGTTATATATTTATCACCTCTCCTTACAAAGTAACCTATAAAGGAACGTACCTTTGGAGGTAATATTATTACAAAGCCGCTGAGAACGTTTTGCAAATGACAAACACTAAAATAAAAGGCATAACGCATCGTACAGGCATGTTACTATCGACTGTTTTATTCCCCATCTGATAGGAACAATTATTTCCTGTTTAACAATACTGAGCTGTACGCACATTGTACTGTACTTTGAAGCTCTACTATCTATTTACAAAATGTAACAGTCACCCATACTTTAGATTGCTTGACGTCATCCCTACAGGAAGATTTTCTATGAAATTTGTATTGCACTAAAACGAGGGTTTTTGAGGGTTTCTTTTGCTGTTTTAATTTGTGCATATTTTTTAAACATCCTGACTGAAATAACTATGTTTAAGAATCAATGGTCTTCAAATGAAGATAAGGATTTCTGAAACAAACATCTGAACAGTCCATATGGAGTCACAATGAAGGGCGTATTACAGTAAACATCCTAGGACATGTAGTACAATATTCTGATTCTAGCGACCTTCTTTTGTCAGGAACAGTTATTGCTGTGTGCGCCACTCCTGACCCAGGATAACGAACAAAAAGCTATACAGATATTGAATACCTGGTAATTATCATTTTTAGAGGAATAAAACATTTATCAAATGTTTTATTCCTCTAACGACCTTTAGCTCTAATGATAGCCTTGGCATCCAGCAAAAACAGAATTACAGTCGATTTTTTGCATTAAACGTTGCTCTTCGCTCATTGGCCCAAATAAGGTGGACACCATTGTAAACCTTTGATTCCAAAGACAGTTATCCCGTTGGCGACACGACGACTCTCGCGCAGCTGCCAGAGCTCGAGATCGCTCGTACCGGACTACTTCCCCTAAAACGAAGAAACACGTCAGCGTAAACATTGCAGTATCAAAGCTATTTTCTTAATTATCTCCCGGTTCTTGCTTCAGTTAAAATGAATAGGATCATTTGCTACCACCCATGTCTTTTATCTATTCTGTAAAGTTTCGTAAGTGACAACACGATTAACCTGCATATGAATATCATTGGAAAGCACACATAAACATGCGGATATTGCTCAGACATGATAGAGTAATTCTGCAAATTAATGCTAGTCTCAGATCTCCAATTAAAACAAATAGTACAGATGGTTATATGAACAACTCCCACCAGATGGCGCCTATGAATTTTATATGAAAGCAACGATGTATGGATGTCTCAACTGTTTCACCTCTGGCCTTGAATTGATTACCTGCACTTTATTGCCGGATTCGCCATGTTTTATTACATATCAGTTGCTTTTGTTGGTGCTTTCTTTTCTACTGATTGCATCTTACTATTTGAATGATCACCTGTCTACAAATATGTCAGGGGCAGTGATTGAAGTTCACACATTGAGATAAACAGTCAGATTAACTTATATTTTCTGTTTGGTGTTAGGCCGATTTATTGTTCGACCACTTTTCACAGGAAACAATTAAATGAACCGAGCAAACAGGCTCGATGGAGATGGTTAACTGCCTAGCCAAAGGTAAATAAATCATATCCACTTTACTATAATCAATGTATCCATACTTAGACTACGAACGTTTTTGACTAATGTAACAAATGCCAACCTAACTTAAAGAATTCCATCTCCTAATGCTGGCTACGGTAGGGGCAAGAATTGTTAGGCTAATACTATCATTACGGGAAGGCGTCGCTTGTTTTTTACAATTTTCTTGATTTCTCGCTTTCTCAGTTAGAGGTTTAGTCGGCCAAGCCACTTGAACACCAGACAGATGATTGAAGTAACCCTACCGATAAGCTCATTGATTCCCTGCAAACCGAACTGCTTCGTAAGCGAGTATTGTGTTGGCCAATAATGACGGCCTTCAACGAAGAATTGCGGGAGATGTGCAGCTACCCGGGACCAGCCAGCCATCATTGAGTTTGCCGCAGCAGTTGCAGCGTTGGTCGTCCCCTAAGGAAAACAACGTGACTTGTTAAAGAAAAAAACATCTGCAGCAACTCCATATGACGCTGGACATAACTGATGAATAGCTCAGATGTATGAATAGAAATAAAATCAAAACTATGTCGCAGGGACAAATGAAGACATCTACTTCCGGCTGCAAATTCTGCGAGACCGTATGTTTAGTCTAAAGTATAGAGTGTCCGTAGCATTTAGAAAAGAAAGTTACAGTTGTGAACGTTACAACTCGAGTCATAGTAAAGTATTTGATAAACAACAAAAAAAAATTAATCTTGCATTCAACTTCGAAACACCTTAAAGATGGAAACATTTCTTGGTATCAATCAATACTATCGACTAGATGTTATATCGATCTAGCAGAATATGGCCGTACACATCTGAGACCCGTTCGTTTAGAAGAGAATTATGCACAACTGTAAAAATACGTTAGCGTAACACCGATAATCGTAAAAGGCTGAACGTGAAAAAAACACCAATCTCTTACTGCAACGGACAATGAACGTGAACAAAAAACAATGCTGATTCGACGTATAAAACAAGTACAAAAATAACTGGTCAATTTTTCAGCTCTGATTAAATTTTTTTTTCCAAATCGGGAGCTTACCGTAGCCGTCGCACCGTTTTGTAGCGGTGTCTGTCTTTTTACGATACGCGTAGATCGAAGATTGATTGGGTCGTTTGTGTATTGCGCGTATTCTCGAACGCGCTTGATGTCCAGGACCTTCTGGCTAAAAGCACAACCCAAGGCACCTAAAAAAGCGATAACGAGTGCGACCCTTATGCACAGCAGATTCATTTCACTAACAAAGCTTCTTATCTCTTACGAAGTACTCCGTTGTTTGGAGAATGCCTCCTTTGGCCGCCCTGATCGAATGTAACGATTGCGCCGAATAGCAATCCTCTTTCTGTAGGGGAGTCCACAAAATGGCGCCGGCAAAAAGACTACAACATCAAAACATATGGAAGCACGCACACAAATCAAAGAATGTCATGGTGTAGTGCTAATAGTGTTAATCCAGAACGAGCGGAACGCATTGAGGTTTCGTATTGTAGTGCGTGTATTTCAGTACGCGCACTACAATACCCAGTATTTCAAACGAGACGTGCGTTCACAATTGCGAGCAACGCTGTTGTTAATTGTTTTTATTTCCATATAAAACCTTGTAGTAATTTAATTGCTAGAGACTATGAATGCGTAAAGCCTTCTACAGCGAGCGTTCATCAGTAATTCACCAACGACCTATTATTATACGATTATGGTTAGGTGCTGTTTGTAGTTCAAATAAATTGTCCATTATAGATGTTTTTGTTGTGCTTTTTTTTACTGCCTTTTTTTAAATATAAAAACTATTTGATCCTTTTGCGAGGAATCTTTTTAAGCGTTCCGACTAAAGCTATCTTTTTATACCTATGCGTAGGTTTTTTTTAGTCCAAATTTCATGCTAACTTCACCAATGATTGTCAAATAATCGTCATAGATATTAAACGAGAGATGCTTGACGCACAACGCGTGAAAGCCGATGGCATCTCCATCAAAAGCTTTTACGTTTAGTTATCAGACCCAGATTTGTAGTTTTATAGATGACGGGCAGTGCGAAATTTACCTGGCAAAATGTACGTACTATTATATATATACAAACCTACTTTTTGCTTGTGGTCAAAGGGCCTTAAGGGTCGTTTATGAGGTATCGGTATGGGTGTCTCTTATCACTTTCCATTTATACTCACTGAGTTCATGCAAACAATAAAAACAGTCTTTTTTTTATGAACTGGTAAAGCATCATTATAATGGAAGTTTATGAAAACTACTCTGTCTCCCAGTGTTCGACTTTCCCGTTAATAGATAATACTCATACAAAGAGTACATCTTTCTATTCATGGTATTAATGGATCTGATACAACCTTTCATGTCATCTACTTTCTTCTATTTTGATCTACAATAATTTTGTCTAAAAAAATATATGTATACATAAGCTTTTAGAGGAAAACCGCATTGGCCAGACCATCCGCAACGTTGCAGATAAAAGCTTGTTGAGGAATTTCCGCTCTAACTTTAAATGTCAATGAAACTTCCTAATCAAAAGTACAGTTTGTACTTTGGCATGCCATCTATAGAAATAAAAAAGTTAACGGAAAAACAAATCGATATGTAAGAGTCGAGTGCTCTAATCCCTTCCCGCCCTGAGAGCTGTTCTATCATGACCGCCCAGGCGCAGCGGCAAACGTCCTTACATGAGGCACTGTAGGTTACTTAATTACCGTCCCTACTACATTTCTTTTTTCTACTTTTTCTACTTTCTACTTTTTGCAGCCCATCACTCTGATTTGCATTTTAAGCTTCACAGTTTTACCGGCTTGTATCATACAAGCCAACCGAGAACCCCTTTTCCTTCGTGCGTTCTACTTTTCACCTCGTACCATTTCTGATGAACAGCTGCTTCACTCTTCCGGATCATGTTTTATGCACTCGTGGTCAGTAATCATGATTGCGATCGCCTGTCAACTTTATTAAGCCCTATTGTATAACGGCGTGGTAGGATGGCTGTCTTTGTAATGAATTCATGCCACTTAACAGAAAGGTAGATAAGTGGGGTACGGCCCAGCTATGGGAACCATTTCACAAAGTTTTTATGATTCTACCTAGAAGCTGATAAGGCGCAGCGTAACTTATCTATCGGCTCATAACACAAATAGATACGGACCTTACTAATATACTATATAACCTAAGGTACTTGCGCTAATGATTATGTGGGCAAAGTTCCGATTCTTCTGCATAGTTGCAAGATGATTAAATAGTTGCACACAAAATAGCTCATTATTGATTGACTGCTTAGATTGGCTGAAGCAAAATCAATTCTGTAACGGAGAACATAGACATAGTAGTACATTCGTATAGAATAACTGCTGCCATTTCAATTGCGTTAGTATTATAGAGTGAATTATTTAGAAACTAACAGGAGATATTGGGCAATGAATTTTTACATTTGAAAGCCTAAACATACTTTATATTGTCAAATAGAAGTGATCTTGACTTCTGAACCTCCGGATACTTGATAATAACGTTACCCGTAGATCAATGACGTCGTACGTATTATTATGTGTCCTCGTTAAATATATTGGAATCATTGTATCGTATATTCCTTAATCATATTGAGAGCAATAGCTGGTGTCACCAATGATGCAGCTGTTTACTTGCCCACTAACAGGAGCAATTGAAATAGCCTAGAATCATGACTTAAATCTCCCTCGTTGCCCAATAATGAATCCATGCGATGAAGGGACCGATATATGTGGTAATCACAGGCTGATGATTCCTAGCGGATTCTATCAGTCACACGAGTTTCTTCTCTTATATTATGGGCGACACTTTTTCTCCAAGCGTGGACATTTTTCATCTAATGTAGTTTTACGTGCCTCCTAGTTACTTTCTTTTGATCGCTCAATCAAAACTATTGTATATTATTTTCCACCAAAAAATCGCAATTCCGACGCTAACGATGGAAATGGTTTTCCTCTTCGCCCGATCATTTTTGCGACTCCAATAATAGATGGATTAAAGCTTTTTCCGACCGAAGAACGGAACAGAGGTGTCTGTAAGACACTTCTATTCGACAGAGCTGAGTGAAACTAAGTGAGCTGAAAACAGATGGGTATAGTAAACATGTGAAACAACTGATGTTTGATTGGCGGTGGTTTAAGAAGCGCGAGGCTTTTTTCCTCTTGGTTCTGGCCGTAAAGTGACAGGAGTCATCGGAGCCGCAGTAAGCTGATTCAGCACAATCAGGATATATCTCACAAATCGTAGACACACGGAAACTGCGTATTGTAGTTGTAAACATTTTATTATGTCTGATGAGTAATTATATAATGAATAATCCACAGGATTGTGTTAGTAAATCATCTACCAAATTCGACTGCTTAAACTAATCGCAGTAGATAAAATAGAAAACCGATAAGAAGTATGTCGTTCGTAACTAGGGTACTGCTGATTATATTAACAAAAAAATGTCGGCATGCTCAATCGTTACGACTTCGAGAATAACTTCTGCAGGTAGTTGAAGAAAAATGAGATAATTCGATTGAAGCTAATACGTGAATATTCTAGAAAATCAAATGTGTTACAACTCATACAGGCTCAGACATATCTCTACAGCTTTTGAAAAGTCTAGTCAGACAAAACAAATCGTTCATGATTTACTGCCAGGGATGAACATCATGACTTTTTTTTACAAGGAAGGCATAGTTAATTACGCTCAACCACATCCAATTTACAATCGACTTTTGCGTTTAAGTCTGTAGAAAGTTTGAAGATCGGTAATTAACAACAGCATTGACCTGACTTGGTGGTATCATTCGGGATTGATCTAGCCAAATACTCAGACTTGAAAGAAATGTTAAGGAAATGAAAGGGAGATATCACGACGCTCTACTGCCATTAACAATACTCGAACCCTCAAACTGGCAATACCTAGCTTAGCAGATAGGCAAAGCCTACTAGAGCCTCAAGCTAATTTAAGTTTTCCTCTAATGTTAGTCTGTGATTTTTTCTGAAACATTTTCCTTAAAAACATCTAGAAAATATAAAAATCAGTTGGCCGGATGAGTTGGATACTTGAACTTTCAGTGTTTTAAAACATAGATGAGAATTGACGAGCTTATTCGCCATTTTAGTATGATCAAACAGAGTCTTTGCACTGCTGTTCTAGAGGTCCGTAGGTGCGCAAAACTAAAAGGAGATTGTCGACTTGGTTAGGTGGAAAAAGCCTGAAGGCTCTTGTTCAATTCGCACTTTTTAAATGTCTGTATGTAACAATCATTGCGTTGATTCTGCGTCCATCTATGATACATAAGTAGGGCCTAACTTTAACTCGGTTGTAACCCTTACTTAACCTTTTTAGTCCGACAATTCTGGGCCCAAGAAATGAATACTTCATATGGCAAGCAGTCCTTGCGATGGTGCAGAGGTAACGTGTTTGCCACCTAAACTTAGAAACACGTGGGATGGGGTAGATGAAAAAGCGGGCGTTTTGTGCTGGGGGCCAGCAGTCTGAAGCAAAGCTTAGCTAAAGCAGTAGCGGGCGCAGAAAGTCGAAATACTTATTTATGAAATATGGCAGTATTTCAAGTGAGCGTACATTAGTAACACAAAGTTATTAGTCACTTTACCCTACAGACTTCCAGCACAGATGTTGTTTCTTTCTCTCCAGCTGAACATTAAAAAAATTATTATAGGGTTTTTTTTCAAAAGGTAGCATTAATCGCTGTATGTTTTTTTAGTTTATCAATTTTTTTCTTATCTTTTACATAAATACGAACAGCTGAGGTTGTGGGCTAAAAATTTAGAAAAACAGGTCTAACCCTTTTTCATTTGACGACAAATAAATTTAGGAAAACGATTTGGTCATTATATGCACTTGAATCTAGCTATATCTTTGATACGTGATTAATACTTCAGCCATATTCTCTTCGCATCGACAATAAGCCAATCAAAGCAGAGTTTTTTTTACAAGTTCACTGACGCCACAATCTTCTATTTGAACTTTACAACTAATCACAGGACAACGCTTCCATGGCTAAATGCTGGATCTACTTTCACATACTATGAGAAAAACATAGCTGTGTATGAAGTACAGTCTGAACATCCTACGTGTCGGTTAAATTACCTACCTTTTTAGTAAAATACCATCCACGTGCAACGCTGAAGGAAGTTAATCCCAGCTTTTGATGCTTCACGAATGAAAACGGTTTTTTTCTAGCGCTATCTACTGAGCTTGTTTATATTCCAATGCAGCTCTGTTCAGATCAACTGCGACACGACTGTTTTCAAATACTGATAGTTGTGTCTAGAGTAGCTAAACACTTGGTCCTCCTTTTTATTAGCGTGTGCGCTTTTCTAGACTCGGCAGCTACTTTCGCCAAAGGGCCGTTCCGACCAGTTGGATGATTCTCCTCGAACCGTTTCATCAATCCTGCAAAAACCCCAACAGTTAGCTTGAGGTGCCCAAAATGAGGCAGCTACCCTCGCATTACAGATGCCCGCCTCAAACTACCGAGGTGGCGGAGCGACGGCTCTCAACAGTATCCGAACACACCAAAAAGCGCCGACAATAACCTGAAATCTGCGCTCATCAATCAAATAAAGAGGTCTTAATTTTTCCAAAGAATAATAAATAATATATAAATAATAAAGAGGTAATATATACAATTCAAGCCTTTGCCATCAGATATATGGCGAGAAACAAGTTCAGATCAAGACCGCCTCAAACAACTCTTTATATAACACTAATCGGGGTTTCACTATTCTTAATTCGTTGTCGAATAACTCATATTTACCTCAACGAATCGTGAAGCTTCATCTCTCCAGCGGGCCCACCTTTGCCGGCTAATGGACTGTTGGCAAGCGAGTCTTTGGGCCGAAATCTGTCTCGTAAAGAAGTGCACAAGCTTACCCATAGTGCTATCACAGCTTCGTTGATTTGTTATGTAGTGAAAAACAAATATAAACTTCAGTCTAATATTTAGCCAGAACACCCTACTCATATTCCTGTTTGACTATCGAACACTTCAGTTGTTTCCTTAAAAATTCAATGATTGCTAAGAGTCAAGCTTATATAATCAATACGTAATTGCTCATCTACTAACAATGGATCCGCCGCCTATGTCAACCCTCTTCGTTCTAGAATATATAAAAATGAACAAGCACCAGTGTTTGTCAACCATTTTAATATAGTGGATTTAACTTTTTTTTTGCATATTCTTCAAGTCAATGCAGCGCCCTGATTCTAATTTACTTTTGACGATTATTAGTAAATAAGCAGATTGAAAATATCATATTTTTTGCATACAGCATATGACATCAATTTGAGTATTATCATTTTTGTGAAATACATATGTGGCTTTGTTAGATCGAAGCTATACGATATGGCATTAACAACCTGGTTTTTATTCATAACAATGCACCTCATCTTGTATGTCTATTTCATGATATACTTTCAGAGTACGATCGACGTAATACTGTTTGCTAAGTACGCTTTCTCAAATTCGTCGTGGACTGCAATCAGCCATCGGCTCGATCGATACTCGATCACACGCAAAACCCACTATATAGACATATCGTCGCCGACAAACGCTCGTTCCTCCGAGTTCGAAGAGTATGCAGAAGTCTCAAAATGACAAGTCAAATGACTTGTTACTTACTGTGACCTTGTGTTAAGGGTCCGCGTCACCAGCGTTGCAAAGAAAGGGGCGAGATCGCTCTTCTGGCATAGCCATTATTATACAAATAATCATATGCTTTTTGGCTTATAAAATCGAGTGATTAATATCGAATATTACTATATTTGCTTTCGCTGGTATTAAACTTAGAAAGTTGAAATATTTTCAAGTTCTATATGTCACTGAAAATTTTTTTGCACATTTTTGCTGGAACGCATTGAACTGGCTGTAATAGGAAGGCTGCTAGTGCGTCTCAGTTGATTTTTCTATTCACCTCTTTACACTTTGTGCACAAATCTAATCGCCTTGTGACTTACGATGATATTAAAATCAACAAAAAGTGCGCTTTTCAGTCAGCAGTGGAAGAAGTCGAGCTACGCGAGAAGGCGATAATTTCACTGATAAAATATATTTTTTTACGGCATGGATGTCTCGATATAACGACGATATTTCCTTCATGACACCGTTTTTCCATCACGTGTTTGCTGGAAAGCCTTGGAAAGACACGGATCTTCAGTTCCTCGCACATACCGCAAACCTCTGGGAAGGACAACCTTATCGGAAGCATTTTAACGTAATTTAAATTTAACTCAAAATATGATGATGGGAATTATGATGTTGACACCTAACATTGAAAAACGTCGATTAGGTGAGATCTCTGTCCGTTTCAGACAGTGTATGTAAATCATAACAAAAATGAATCAAACCAAACAAACGATTTGAACCCCACTATGCAATTTTATAACAACATGTACGTGTATTCGTGTAACTAATGTGCATACCTTCATTCTGCATCCATTAGGCTTTTAAGTTCAACATTCGCAAGAGGAACTACAAACTACTATCGTTCGTAATGCTCGAGAGAATATTTAATGAGCATGGCTAATCTATCGATAACGATAATTTTGCATAAACAACGATTTCCTTGAGTCGCTTTGTTACGATCGCATGCATTCGAAAGCTATTTCGTCCATTAATTTTATTCAACATGCTTAACATGTAGTATACAACGTAACCTATACACGGTATGTCTGTGCAGATCTCATACAGTCAGCCTGTTTAGTTTAACTTACCCTTCCTTAGCTTCCTTCTAATTTTAGTTACTGTGCACTACAGCAAATGCTTAAAAGTTTGTTGTTTGATAAAGAAGTTCTACGGTTCTACAGTACAGTAGCGTTGGCGCATGTAACAAACTATTACTACCAGTAGTAATATTTTGATCGATTATTTCACTTGTTTTTATGTGGCAGGCATGGTCTACAGCCGCATCGTGAATCTGAATTCTCTTTGTACAGATTAGATCACGCTAAGACGGACGCGAGTTTACCTCGTAAGCAGGGTTTTAATACTGGCATCATGCTCATGGATTTCGACAGAATAAGTAATCCCAAAGCATATAATGATCTTCTAACTAAAACAAAGCTGCGTCAGTTAACGGAAAAATAACTATTTTTAGGCATCCTCGGCCGCCAAGACTTCTTTACACTCCTTAGTAAGCTATTTGCGAGGTCACCTACATCACAGATTTGCTAAATATAAAGAAATCAGCTCTTAACAATAGCGCTCGCTGCTCTCGTCACTTTCACCAGCTTAGCTGCAGGTGATATAGAAAACATACTGAGGCTTTTGTTTTCAACATGTTTAAAACAGGCAATTTTATTGTAGTATTTTGTAGAAAATAAACATTAATAGAAAACAATCTTGAGAAAACTTAACGAGCATGTCATTTGCCTTCAACAAACTTTCGATTTTCGATGAATTGCTTACGTCCTTATTATAGTCCAGTCGTCAATTACTTCATAAGTACCTCAAGCTTTAGATACTCCAAGCTGGAAATTGATACGGTAAATATGTTTTTCTCATTTTACGCGAGCGTTTTTTTGAAAGTAGAATACCCTGAAATGTTTTACCTTCTTGACTGCTTTTGGAATTATTAATTGGACACAGGTTACAATCCTATGTTTAAAAAAGGGTGTTTGCGGCGTACCACAAATGCACGAGTCCAGTCAGGGTATTATACCATGACAGCGGAGGTCATATCGTCCCACCTGAGCCCACAACTGCATCAGGATTGTCCAATGAAGTATAGAAATTATCCCATGGTTTACAATATGTTGAATAAAGAACACCCGTACATTATGCTAACTGCTGAATTCAACGAACTCCAAAAGAACTCGGTCATATTAAACGATGCTTGACCTCCAAGAACGATGTCAAGCTAATCAAAGTTTGTTACGTGCTATTCAACCGGATACAATGCACTGCAACTCATAATGGGACATTGCGTATGGAATACCACTCAAATGCAGCCTTCATCTTCTGCTGTTCAAAACCTGTCGGCAAGCCGAATATATAAATATAATGAGAGCTGTAAGTAGCATAAACATGCATATTTCATGATAAGCGTGTGTCTGTCTATTACCCCTTTCTGATTAATTTTATTAAACAAGGACCGGAAACCTTCTTGGGTGAGGCCATTTGGTCCTCAACATACGTGTATTCTAATCCTGTCTATGCCTGCTGATTATAATAGTTGACAGTTTGCGCCCACCGTGAACCTACAGTACATATATTCTTAGACTTTGTTTAGAACAGAAATAGAATGTTGTTTTGACTTAGAATAGAAAATACCTAAAATAACCAGTTGTTGATATCTGGTCATCGTCTCATTTCATTGAGAACATTATCTCGACTGCGCCAGGCAAAAATTTATCTTCTCCTCATTTCTGTCTTCAGAAAAAATAATATAACTTAAGTTTCATTCTAGGAAAACAGTATGCGACCAAACACTGCTCCGATCGTCACCACTGACAAATTATATTTCTTTAAACACTTTAAAGAGGTTACCAGGCTTTATGTATCTCAAACCTTAATCGTATAGGTCCTGGATCTCCAAGGATGACTGTATTGCTCATTTTTGTCGAAAGTCAATTTCACGAGCTACATATCTGACTGTTTAAATAACCATAATTTAATTTTGGAATCGTTCGTAATGATTAACTTGAGCAAGCAGCTGTTTCTTGCTACATATCTGACTGTTTAAATAACCATAATTTAATTTTGGAATCGTTCGTAATGATTAACTTGAGCAAGCAGCTGTTTCTTACATCTGACTGACCGTATTTTACAAAGACAACGGTAATAAGGTTATACACTGTCTGCATATTACAATCGTTGTGTATAGCTTCATATAGAAAATCTGCGATCGACATAAGCAGAAAAATGCAGATCCCGGCCAATTTATATGGCGGACACCTAAAATATGTTTGCACACATTAACTTTTAAGTACCATATGTTAGATACTTTTCAATTCCTCATGTTCGTAATATTCCTAAAATGTACAAAGCAATTTCATGTAATGTTTCGATTTGATTGCAAGCTGGCTATGTGTCAGTCTAAAAGGTTTTACAACCTATAATAATGCCACAGTCTCCTGTGAAGGGCGTGACCAAATATTGCGCTCATTTCATAGGAAACAAAGTCGATCTTACTGATTAAATTACATTCCTTTTTGTGCGGTAAATTAATTTGCTGTTTCAATCCATCCACCTTTTCTTTCCACATAAGGACGTACATAATATTATGGTTTATAGATTACCACTGTATTTTTTTTTGAGCCGACTGTCCCATATTACTTTTTGGATAATTTTCCTCCAGTTTTTTAGGGCTCTTTTACGGATTCGTTCGCGACGTTTCCGTCTGTCCTCGGTTTGTCTTTCGTACCACGCGGCTTCTAAAATCTCCTGATGCTCCACGCAAACAACGAACCTGAAAGAAGATGATGCCAGCTTAAAAGAACGCCAAGTTCTACTTCCTAAATATATGTATATAAAGCTAAGAAAACTCAAGCAGCTACAGGCAAGTTCCAGGATGTGACCAAAGCCGAAGGGGTGAGAGAGAAAAAGAGATACAGTTTTTAACCGAAATTATTTAACGACTGTTTAATATACATTTGTAAAGGCTCATTGGCTGAACGTAGGATCCGTATAATTATATCTAATAACAACTTATTAAGCCAATGTAGCAACTAAGGTAAAAGAAAATTTTATTATATTATTAACTCTGCATGCATTTTCACTAATCTACATTTACATTTTAGCCTTTTGATCTAATTGGTCATACTATATACCGCTTCGAGTACAAATAATAGTTAGATTAAGGCACACTCACCCTTCAATAACAGGATGGCAGCCACGGGCTACGCCTTCAAAGCCAACAACTGCTGGCACGCAGTCGATACCGAGTTCGTCAGCGATTCTATTTAAGCCAGGTAGCTTCAAGTGTACAGTACCCACAGGCAACATGTCATCATGGAACAACTCTACGTTACCAAACGCATTACGTGGTACCTTGCCATCTTTAGCGACCGGGGGCGTGTACGGTTCCGTTTGCCATTCACCGAATACCTCGAGTGGCAAATCTTTAATCATAACTTCGTTTCGTCGATCCCATTTGGGCCGAGCTTTTACCACGTTATAGGCTATTTCTCCTTCTTTTACTTGTCGCCCATGGCGATGCCACGTATCCTTTGACCGAAGCAGTTTAACACACTCGCGACGGTAGACAGGTTCCTTATTTACATAGCCAAGTATTTCAGCGTCACGCGGATATATGGCTTCAAATTTGAGTAGATGCCTTGCAAGAACGTATTTAGGATGGTTTTTGTACTCGGAAATAAATTTGGGTAGACCCCGCTTTTCTTGAAGGTTCGCGACCTCTTTTTGCTCCTCGATGTGATCTTCTGTATCATCTGCAGGTGCGTAATATGCCAGCGTCTTCTCCAAAAAGGCACTTTTAGGCCGCAATTTAGCTCCTTTACTTAGCCAGTTGTTGTGGTATTTAGGTGTTAGGTCCATCATGGCATTTTTGGCGTCGATACTAACAACATAGAGTACAGGCTGATCTAAATGAGCTCCCATTTCTTGAGGATCCTCTATGATCCGGTGCTCCTCAGTATCCATCGGTCTCCAACATCGTCGGTCACCAACGTACACCTCTGCAAAATAATCCAGTACACCTAAGGGTTCTCCGAGTAAATCCGTCTTTGATGTAAATTCAGCCTAAATTAGAAAGCAGTTTCAAATAACAGATGAAGATATTATGTACACATTACTATGAGCCCATGCATAAAGGAACCTCAAATATTAATTGCCAATTGTACAATGTAAGAATCATCTGAAATATATGCTCCTATGTGCCACGTTCTTTAATTCCAGTATCCAGATAGGATTAATGCATGATACATTGAAAATATTTACTAATCTATTCGATCGTAGACGTAGTAAAAATAGCTTCAAAAACGATAGGAACTAAACCTGTAGAACAGTTGGGCTTGTAGTAACTATTTCAATGAAATTATATATTCATTGCACTTCATGTACGTACTATTTCTCCATTCTTTCTCCTGAGGAGTGCAGGCTTATGTGTCATGGGCCGGTGCGAAAAACACAAACGTGTAGGGACGCCCATGGATCGCATTATCAAGACAATTCCAAGAAGATACACGACATTGCAGCTAGTCATTCGGTTCATGATTAAGACACGCAATTTTTCCTTAAGCGATTTGATCGAGAACGATTCTCCATCACCGGTAGGTTCTGTTAGCTCAAATGCTCTGCTACAGAATAGCAAGAGACTCTTCACAAAGTGGCTGTCAGCTCCACTAGCTGGTAGTGGTGATTGCAGAACAAGGTCTGCTGGCATACGGGATAGAGCCAAGGCTCTCAATGTATCATCTTGAATAATGGAATTGATATACCTCTGATATGCTAATAAGCAAAGCAAGTGAGTGTTGTGACCAAGATTTTGAACCACTTTGCGTCGGCGGTTAATAAGCCGCATCATTCTTTGTTCCATGTCAAGCCGCTTGGCATCTGGAATGAAATCATCGTTTTTTAGGATAACTGTCACGTTGTCTGGACGTTGGTAGTTTGGATCTCGAGCAGAGGCATTGTCTACAACTTCCCAATCGCCTTCATCTTCCTCATCGCACGATGAAGACTCATGATCATTTGCTTGAGTCCTTGGCTGTTGTTTTTTCTTTTTTGTCGCGGACTTTTTGTCAGGCGGTTTCCTGTGCTTAAGCTTACCGCTTGGCTCACTGCCCAACCCATTCTTCTCTTTAGAGTTTCCCGCAACCGAAGATAATAATTTTGCCTTGTCGCTTTTAGAAAACACTTTGTTCAGCTTTACCCCAGCGTTGGTATGTTCATCGTCGTCATCACTAGTATCGCTCATTTCAGCAACTTCTTCATGTTCCTTAAGCATTCTCATAATAAGAGCACGGTGAGCTTCCTCGCTTTTCGTGTCTTCGGTACATATCTTAGATGGGTCCGACATTTGTGGGATCTTCTGACCATGAGCGGATTCATACAGATCATCTTCACTTCCATCCATTTGGCGAGCGAGATGCAGAAGACGTTGTTCGTGCTCCAGTGAGGCTACTCCAAATGGGCCAGGCGATGCGTTTTTTGTAACATTACTGACAAGCGCAATCTCTTTATATTGATTTGGCCTTCGAGGCTTCGTAAAAACCTTTTTGAGCTGGGAAGATTTTTTAGACTGTTTAGATCCTTGCTTTTTTTTTATTTTCGGGTCTGCTTCGGCACTAGAACCAAACGCCTCTGACTTCAATCTGCCAAGCTCTTTCTCGTGAGAGTGTTTTAGTCGTTTCTTTTCACGGAAAGCATAGTCTTCGTCGAAGTCGTCAGGTAGGCTGCCATCTGAAGTGTACTCCTGTGACTCCTTACGTTGACGTAGCTGTCGCTTTTTTGATGTAGTAGGGAGTTCAGAAGGAGCGTACAATGCGGCCGTGTTCTTTTTTTTGGTCGTTTTCGACTTGTCTGCACTACCGGGCTTGCCGGGTTCTTCTTGCGATAACTTTTTGTTTGCATTCTTATTTCGAATGGGGAGCTCGCCTTCAGTTGTATCCCGAGTTCGGGGTACCCGATTTGTGGGTTTTTCGCCTGACTGCACTGACTTCTCTTCTTTTTCTGGGGCAACCCATTTTGATTGATGACGAGCTTTTTTTGGTGGACTTTCTGTCTTTGGAGAGCCTTCACGTCTCTTTGCATTTCGCCCATTTATTTCCGGAGTGATCACGACTTCGCCGTCACTTTTCACTTCATTCCTTTTCTTACCGCGACCCCCTAAAAGGAGTAAGAAATTTATTTTAATTTAGGTTATCATTTTCATGATACTTTCCTGCTGTATCCTTAGGGTAAACTGGAAATAAGCGAAATTATTATGTTGAAACTAATTATTAACGAAAACAGTATCGCAGCCAAATGTTTCACAGTGTGAATCCAGCTTTGTGTTTAGCATAACTGTCTGTTTACGTGAAAACATTGTTCGCGTGTTACTATTAGAAAAGGACTAATAATATTAACTAAACCTGTTTTAAATGTTAGTCTATGTGTATGATATATAATACGGTCAAAGCACACTTTGTTTTGAGCATTCTGTCCAGATTTTTTGCCTCATGATTTCAGTGCACCGATTGAAGCTATAGATACAGATAATTTTCCCCCATATACACGCAGCATAAAAACGTACAAACTGATTCAAGAAAATTATTTTGTACGTCTTTTCATAGAAAGGTAAGGAACGCTGTAAAGATGAACTAACATCAGCATAGATGTTCGATAACAAAGATAATTTTTCACTTATAATTTTAACTTTGTTAGATAAAAACCGATGGCATGGTTTACATAGATCGATGTTCAATATGAAATGGTAGGCTGTAAACATTGCAGAGTTTTATCGTTTGTATTGAACGTACTTTATTATTATTTATATTATTCTTCCCGAAATCTAAATAGAACTTTATTAAGCGAACAAAAACTATTGCTGTGTAATTGACTCTGCCCATTTTACACATCTTTCTTGCAGTCACAATTACTGATTACACTCACGTCGCATCACGTATTAGAATTCATCACAGGATAATTGGAATTTTTCACTGGAGTTCAGCCGAGTTTTTTCAGACCAGCACTAGGCTGGGCAACGTGACAATAATGAATTGGATATTTAAATTTGAGCATGACTATGCCCCGCGGAAGATACCATGGTAAAGCAGTTAGAAACGCAAAGTATACGTTCGCACACCCTAAAGACCTATTTAAAAGCGCTATTCACACCGCAAAATTTCTATATATAAGAATTTTGTCAATATCGGATAAACAATATCGGATCAACTCAGCGAGTCACAGATATTTATATCTGTACATGCCATAAGTCTACGCCCAAAAGATCTTACCTATTTTAGCTGCTGTTGCTCGAGGTTTACTCGTTCGAGACGAGGCCAGCAACGAGTTTTCGCCTTTTTTAGGACCTGCTGTAGTTGCAGCCATGAGATTTGTGCAGCAAACTGCTTTTGGCTCACAGGTTCTTTGTTTTCTTCCACAAGTATTCCTTAAGGTCGGCTATTTTTTGTAAAGTTGTTGATCTTTTCAGCTTGTACATGATGATGACAGGATCGATTCTCGAACCTACGCAGAAGCATAATAATGAAGCGGCCTTTATTTGGAGGGAACACTCAGTGTCAGTGGTCAAGCTTTCTACAGTGCACACTATCTCACTTGGCGACACCTCGAAGATTATGAACGCTAGCAAGTGAAGCCGGGAGCAGAAAGCATAGCCAGTCGGCACGCGGCTGTACCTGCTCGACTAAAATGAGCGAATGTCCAATGTTTATATTAACCGTATGGCGGGAAAATTAAAGAAAGAACAGCTGTTGTAGTCGATAGAGAATCGCCGATAGTGAGTTTAAGCCTATATATTGCTACGTTCATTCATAATGATTCGGGGCCATTTACTTTTAAATTATTAATTGTTTTTATAAAAAAAGATATTGTTCGGTGTCAAGAATAGGTAGTCGTCTTTGTGCTCGTTCATTAAACAATATCTTTCTAAGACACATAACGTTAAGCTATACTTGACATCAGTAGGTATGAAACTAACAACGACGTTAACTGCCACCAATCAATTACAATATTATTATCATTCTCACAATATAAGTGTTTATACATTATCCACACAAAGCCTGCATACGAAACAAAAGAGGTAAACAATACAGTTCTTTCCACCTACTACTAAATGTTCAATTAAGGAGTACAACTACTAAATAATTACTCAGTCGAGCGGAATTTATACGCCTTGATCGCATTACCAGATAAGAAAGATGCAATGACCATTGACAAATTTGATCCTTTAAGATATGCCAATGTTCACAAAAGGTACTTTATCACAGAGCATAGCAGTTTATGGCAACTCTGGCGTAATAAAAATAAATAGTAATTCTTTAAAAAAATACAATATAATCCACCTTAGTTTAATCTATTTCTTGGTTCAATAGATCATCGCTGCTTGATTTCCGTACAGGAATAGAGCTACGTATTGCAGCAATCTTCTGTTCACATCTGGATTGGGTTCTAAAAATACACATATTTAGAAATTACGAACCTCGTTCTCGAAAGCCAACCTGTCTATCCTAAAGTTTGCCTGATTACTGAGTTTAAAATTCTACCATAAATAATTATCCACGGCTAATAGTAATGGTGATACGGAGCGTAATACATTTGTCGGCTGTGTTGTTTAGTTAACTGAACTGCCCAGATGCGCTACGGATGCACAGACGGAACAGTTTTTTTTAGAAACAACCCTAGATGTGTGACCTACAAACACGACAGTACAATGCCTTAGTTCAGATGACATGTAGACACAACTATATATCCTTACTAGGTTCAGTTACGTTTACACACCAGCTAATATTTTTATATTCCGAATTAGCCATATTTGTCACTCTTTTTTATATATGACGAAAATACAGAAACTCATATAGTAGTACTCCATGTAGTCCTTAGGGTGCTCATGTTATACAGCTTAATGTAATAAGTTTTAAAAATGGCTTTTGCTTTCAATTGTCCCTAGAAAACGTAGCTCTGTGGCAGGTAAAGCAGAAGTAGGAAACTAACGTTGTGATTTAGGTTCGAACCCGGACAAAGACAGACAGACAGACAAACGGGACTTCGTTTCGTGCTGGCAGGAGCCAGCTGTCTCTCTGTCTGATGGAGCTATGCCTAACGACGATACCGGACGTAAAACTCGAAACATAGAGGCGACGACCTAATTAGTTTATTTCCTTCCAATTCGATAGTTGTCCAAATAGAAATATTTAGACGATCTGAGTGGCCTCTTCTCTTAAAATCCAGTCAGAAAAAATCTAGCAAGCCGAATCGCGTCGAATTTCTTAGATACATGCGTGTCTAAAACAATGGAATTTTAAAAGTGCTCATTTGTGCAACTATCACTCCTGTATTCAAGAAAAAAATGAAAAGAATCTTTAGTCTAGTGTGAAATATCTCTGATAAATATAAACGTTTAATACCAATCTGTTTGAAGTAGGTTTTTAGTTGACATTCTTAAAACCATCTTTTAAGTAAAACTACAAGTGATGACTTGAGTGCTTTCAAATATCCGTATAATCGATTAATTGTTAGCCCCGTAGACATTTTACGAATTTCTACTAGCTTAGTAAGTATCGCTAGCGATTTGAGTATATTATACAATGCCTGTTTTATGTACAAAACACCTTCTCTATCAAAAGTGTTCTGCTCGCAATAAGATGTGTACTATGCAACGAATCTGATTTACAATAAAAAGGGCTAATAAATTTTATTTAGCTACCAGTTTCCTGAATAGACTATTCGCTACAGCTTCGTAGCTCAACATTCAGCGGCTCATCGCATCTGTTAAGATGTTCTGCAATTAGTTACTTCCGGAGATTGCCACTACTCGTCTATTCCTAATAATTTTGAATAAAAAATATTCCTAATAATTTTGAATCAATCACCACCAGGGTTTATGCAACCTATGGGACTAAGTTAGTTACTTCAATGTTCTCACTTTGGAAATGGCTTTTGGCTGTGCTCTAAACATCCTAGTTAGTACAACACTTGATATTTCGTTGCCTCTTAATCGATACTTGAGCAGTTGCAACGTGAACCACATCCGTGTGGGTTATTTATTGTCATTCTCAATGAAGTTCGCAATTAGTGGCTTCATCGTCGAAATTTAGCCATGTTAGGGTGATTTCCTGAACCGGTCTCTATCCACTAAGGATGAAGATTACAGTATTCTTATTGGACAGCTCGTCTGGTAGTAGCTCATTAGAGACTTACTGATTCAAAGATGTTTTTTTTTACTTATCGCAGTTGATTGACACAGCCCAATTATGAAGACCCGTTTCGCGTTGTCCAGAGGAGACTATATAATTTGGGTGCATTTCGTTTATTGTCGTTAATGACAATGGTATTCTTTAAAAACTTTCACAACCAAAAACCTGTGAAAAAAATGTCAAAAAGCTGTGATGCTCTGCACACTTATGTATGTGAACATATTTCTTGCATTTATTTCAAGTTTGTTTGTCTAACAAAATGGCCTGATTGTCGATACCCTAGGCCTGACGCGATATACTATTTCAATTTTATATAATTTGCTGTTATGCCAACTTTGCTTGTCGGATATTTCATTTATTTATATATACCTTACACTATAATAAACTCACAGCCGTTTTCCTACCTTCAGTCAACTAAACTAACCTAAAATTATTTTAAATAAGTGACATAATGTTTAGTACTTGAGTTTGATATGCTTTGCTGACATGATTTTTGGCATAGCCTTAAGTAGCAACGTACGCCTGAATGAAATCTACTGAAGTGATACAATCTACAATGACTAATATATACACCTTGTAGTTACGCAAAATTTCCTTTATTATATTATAATGATCATGTACAGCTAGTCATAAAAAAAACACTATATTGATACAACGGATTTTTTACTTCATCGAAAAATAGTAACGTTTGAACGAATCCTGTCAGTCCTTGTTATTCACTATTTTGCTAGAATTTCGCCTATTACATTAGTAACTCTATCGTTGTGATAAATTAACCAACGGATGGCAATATTTAAAAAACAGCCGCACAAGACTCCTTAAGCAGATGGAACCGGGTTAGTAAAATAGCAAATCCGTGCTTCAAGAACACTTCAGTAGGTACTACCGCCTATAGCGACCTTTCTGTGCAATCAGGACCACAGCTACCTATAATCACGAACGAACTTCTAGGCGATAATGATGATAACGAAAATATAAAACTTCAAGTGATTTATCTCGCTGGCCAAACGACGGGCCGAGACAGTTGGTCTTAATATTGTTGCCTAAACTGCCCAATGATTATCCCCCGAAAGTAGCCGTGTCGCCTTTACTTGCCTGGTCTTTCCCAATTAAAAATGATCTCCTAATTGAAAATGGGACCCAATATAAATACAGTAAATATGTATATTATGTTTTTGGATGTGTAATGGGTGTGTATGTATATTGGTGTTACTTTGGACGCATCATTCCATTCAAATGACTATTACGACAGCTATGATTCAGCCACTGCGACATAGGGGAATCTGATTTTTGGCCATGCCCCTTGCCATTTTCGCCTTCTCTTTAATCTTTTCCGTAGCTTGATGCATCGCTTGTTGACTGGCTGTCATTGTTCCCAGGGGGCCCAAGGGAGCACTGTGGTTTTGACCCGCCAAGCGCAACTGCTCCAATACATGAATGAGTCCTTTTGTAGCTCGCTGCGTGCTCTTCTTAAACCTGCTTAGGCCGAATTCCGTTACAATTTTTGAAACTCTTGAGAGGCCGGACGAAACCCATGCTTGGCGCTCGCAGATGGTTCGCATATACGGACTTACTGGATCCGGCCGATAGACACATTTCTCTTCTATTTGCATGATATGAGTAAGGCCAATATTTCGCGTGTACGTCGTAATTGTCTGCAAAAGTATTGATATAAATTACATTAAGGAGATTAGAGCATTACAATTCGAGGCAGAACTAAGTAACAAAATCGACCTTACGATTCATCGCAGGCTTTCTGACAGAACAATTTTGTATAAATACACACTAATAGGTAAGTTTCGAAAAGCTTTTCATCTTCTGTTACAGTTTTTCGCTTAATTCCGTTTCAGGAGTTTTAGCTTTATTGTTACGAAGTAGCCGTTCTGATTACATTAATAAAGCTTACTATTGTATTATGCGTGTATATGATATCTAGTAGGGTAGATATCAGAATCACTGTTTATTCACTATGCAATAGTTTAGACTAAAAATGGACAAACATAATGTCATAGTGATTGACTAGCACAGTATAAAATATTGATTACAACGGAACGAATCATTAACGATCCGTCTCCAAAACTCACTCTCGAAATTGGATCAATAATACTTTCTTCCACAATGTTGGTCCTGGATGCTACTTCACCCACAATCATCTTTGCATAACTTGGTAACGTACCCTTCTTGACCAAAAGACGTTTCGTCACTAGCGAACCTGGAAACATTGTAAATAGATTGTAGCGGTCATCCTTTAAATATCTTCAGCAACAGGCAGGCGATATCGTTCTGAGTAAAGGAAGACTTCATACGAACCTTCCCGTGTGATATATCTCGAAATAGTATCCTCGGACAGCACGTGTTTTGCATTTGGGTTCGGGTAACGCTTCCAGAAGCCTCGACTGACGTCCTCCCAACTAAAGTTGAAAGAATCGCGAGTAGACATGAACTTGGTCATCCTCCTTCAATGAAACTGGAAGTACTTCTGGGATCACGGAGTCCGACTACGTAAAAGTAGAAAGCCAGTGACGAATGTACTCCAGGGTTCGCTTGGTCGGCGGTCTCAATCGTTAGGACGAGGGGTCGCCAGCTGAAAAATAAAAATAGACGAAATCTACTGAGTACAATATAATCTATCCATTCACTAAAATCACCTTGCTACAAACTGAGGGAGCTGGCCGAATTATTTATATTATCTGCAATTTGTTTAATTACTGTTTTATTAATGTATGTCGTATTTAGATAGACTTAGTCTGCGTATAGTACACATAAGCAGGTTTTTCTTACGAAAACAATCACTTCTTTTATAAAGAAAAACCGTCTAAATCTAACTCTAGAAATATCTTTAAAAAAGTATGTCCTAAGCATTTAACTCGTATAAACGCGTCAAGCAACTCTGATTCTTTACCGCTCAGTTCTTTTTTACGTACGTAATTAGTAGAACACTGTTCTCATTGTGTTCCTATAAAAGACTTACGGGACCCTGCGCACATGTACTCTAATATTCGTGTTGATTTCATCGCGCCGCGTAAATTTTGAAAAAAAAGAAAGGCTAATTTATTCTTCTTTCTAAGCAAAACAACAACAATAACGAATCGCGCCTACGTTAGCGTCAGGTCACCGTTATTAAAACAAACAACGATACGCAGATAAGCGGACGCGTTAAATGCTGCCTACAACACCGGCCTAATACTAGCCAGCCGCGATAAAATAGAAACAGTCTGTCGCGTATATAGGATTTTTTTTTAATATTAGTTACGTTATGGATAACGACAAAGTGACAAAGGATAGTAGGAGACGAAAACGTTGTGGTAATGTTATTTTACTATCGATACTAATCGCAGCCCTGCTGTAAATATTTGTCTCCATGAAACCTGACCTTGTGTTACTCACGAATCTAATCTTCACAAACAGTTAATGTTTACGGTGAACACCTCCACGATGAGGAAAAGTAAAGATGACTGAAACCTGTGATTTTTTTAGTTCTATACGATGGCGATGTATGGCAACACTTATGCTAAGGTATACCGGTGACTTTCTTTCGAAATGATACGCAAATCCTTGACAGAACGATATGAAATTGTTGTCACTTGAGACCTCAAGGCTAAAGCTAACATACAAGAAGTGATGAGCGGTTTTCGAAATAGGTTTCTCCGTTTATAATTAAAAATTGTATATGAAAGAAGTACTATTTTATTGTGTCGTATCAAACATGAATTTCCCATGAATTCGTGTTGGAGATAAACAACAAATAAAATATATGCACATTACTGTCACATTGTTTGGTTGTCCATCCTGAAACAAACCCGGCTTGCAAAATTGAATGAGTATTTTTATCGAGCCTGAAATACGGCTTTATCGACCACATCTTGTGTATATGATCGAATAATCAAATTTTATATCTACGAAAGCTAAAATATTAGGTTTCTAATAAGCAGTGATAATTAGTGAAACATCTTCAACAAAAGACAGATCACTAATGATAAAACTAGCCGGCGGAAAGCAGTATTTTCTGGTAGTCTAAGGGTGTTATTGTTGCACTCTAACTAGATGCAATGAAAAAGAGCTTGCACTGCATTGCAATAACGGTGAGTAATATGCAAAAATACTTATATACTGCAAAGGTCATACTACCATTTATTGTCGGCAGTAATCCGTCGAACATTTCAAGCGGTCCCTAAAGTTGTGTAATGTCTATTCAGCATATTTTCTAATCAAGTAGATCACGTTTGCTCATCAAGACAAGATAGCGACTGTGTAGGGTTGCTATATACTCGATAGCGTTTACATCATTGTACCATAAGTGAACAAGGCTAGGTTAGACTACCTTATAGGGGTTTAAAATTCTGTTCGGATCTAAGGTTTTCTTAATGTTTTTCATGAAGTTTAACCAATTAGCGCTTTTCTGCAGTGGCAAATATTTCTTTTTCAGCACCCCGATACCATGTTCAGCGCTAATGCTTCCTCCCATCCTTACAGTTTCCTCATAAACAAACGGCTCGATTCGTTCCAACAACTGATCACTATATGCATTAGCTGTTATATTCAAATGGACATTACCGTCCCCCATGTGGCCGAACACACAGATTCTCTTAGCTAGTCCTTCTACGCGAGACTCAAGTTTTTTTCCGAGGTCGAGATAATTTCTCAGAGGCACTGACATGTCATATTTGAAAACATAGCCATCTTTTTTAATCGATTCTGAAATCCGTTCCCTCCGTTGCCAAAGTTCAGCCACACTTCGCCCGTCGCTAGCGGCAACCCCATCGGTGACAACACCTTTGTCTATAATATGTTCGATAAAGCAGTTCAAGGAATTCTCAACCATGTCGCCGTCATTTCCCTGTACTTCAATCAGCACATAAAACGGATGAGGTTTACTCAAGGGATTGGTAAGTCCACTGTTCTCTTGGACACATTGCATACAAGAGTGGTCAAACATTTCGAGTGCAGAAAGAAATTCAGCTAGCCTGCTCTTTGACATCTTGTAGACGTCAAGAACACGCTCAAAGTTGTCGCATCCTAAAATGGCAACACTGTTGAACGCCGCTTGCTGTGGTAGTAACCATGCAATCCTTGTCACTATACCGAGAATACCCTCCGACCCTATAAACAGCTGTTTCATATCGATGCCGGTGTTGTCTTTGCGCATTTTACTTAGGCCGTTCAACACTGTCCCATCAGGTAGGACAGCCTCTAGGCCAAGGACTGATCCATGCAGTGAGCCATACTTAATTAACCGCACTCCTCCGGCATTGGTCGATATGTTACCGCCAATATGGCATGAGCCTTTAGCAGCCAAATCGAGTGGAGCAATTAAACCGTATGGGGCTACCTGCTCGTTGAGTGACTCCAACACCATGCCAGCGTCCACAACCGCAACGCCTGAAATGGGCAGGCGGTGGTCAGAAAGCGATGGTTCTATGATGAACTAATGCATAAATATACCATAGGCGAATGTAACTTTACAGACAGCCAACCATTGATAACGACTGGCTAAACGAGTAAAAGATTACGCGGTTAGACTTCGAACCAACTGATAAATGACTTTGATCAAATTAGAACTTCGATCCGTAGTATACTCAGTTACAAATGTGATTTCCCCCAAAGGAAACCATTCTTTAGAGACCAATAACTCACCAGTCAGATCATCAACCTCATGAAAATTGTCCATTCGACGAGTGGAGAGCACAATTTCATCAAAGACCGGTACACTGCCTCCTGCTAGGCCTGTATTGCCACCCTGTGGTACAACAGCGAGGTGGCGCTCGTTGCAATAGCGAAGGACCTCAGAAACTTCAGTCGCGTTTCGAGGAAATAACGCTACACGCGAGGAGCCTACAAGTAGGCGTTAACAGGAGACGTTAGCAGCTGTTTCAAAGATGGATAAACCGAGAGGAAATATGTCGAGACACCTAATTTGAAACCCACTAATTTGTAACTGGTATAACTTAAAGAAAGGTCTTTAATGTCTCCAAAAGTAAGAACTAAGAATGACGCTAAAACCTAATTTATAAAAAACTAGCTCGCTGTTATTTAAGCTCACGAGAGTAGTCGTGACATTTACGTCACCTTGGCATGTGTTGAGCCAGTCTACGTTATACGCGCGGAGATCATCAGGAGCAGTAAGCACCCCGCTAGCTCCCAAAAGTCGTTCGAACACGGCAACGTCATTCTCCTTTAATATACCAAATGAGCCCCTTGTTTCTGCCACGCGAGTTCGCCAAGTAAAGGAGGTGCTCAGGCACCTTCGACTAATTTGCCAAATTTTCGTACCCATTTTAAAGGATGTCCACGCTTGACCTGCATTAGCAAAAACAAGTGCGCTAACAGCAAACATAACAAAATACCCCTAGAATCGCAAACACTGCCAAACCGCACACTTAGCCATAAACTATCATATGATTATCACTATGCATACAGAAATAGCCTTACCATGATTTTATAGTAGAGCTTAGTGAATAGGATCTGCGACAACTGCGTTTTAAACGGACATGATTTCCAAGAACAATGATCAAGATATTTACTGGAAACCAGCGTTTTTGACGTCGTACCTAAGCAAAGTTCACTTGATAAAAATATCCTTGGCCACGAGAATGACTTATGGAATAACGATTCGCTATTATGGTTTGTTACGTTGTTCAGTCGTTTATCAACAGCACGATTCAGATGTAGGCTGATGGAATTGACGGGATTAACTAAGATGATATCCTATTATTGAATGACGGCAATTGCAAAGAAATAACCACTGATTTTTCACCAAGTACAAAAAAATGTCATCGAGTTACATAAATAATTAATAATAATAATAAATAAATAATGTGAAATAATTTATTTCACATCGGATTATTCCAATCTGTAGATAAAATTATTCGGATCTTTACGTTTATATATTAATGGAGTCAAATAAGCCATATATATAAAATAATATTTCATTTACCAACGATGAAATAAATAAATCAAACGCAATATTGCTAAAAAAAACCGTTGAATTTTTAATCGACTTTGTTAAGCATCAAAATTAAACTTTTTTTTTATCCAGTATTTGGAAACTCTTCCTATACGACATTACTGCTTAACTGCGACTATTCGCTACACCTAGCTTTAGAATCTGCTATCATTTAATGATCAACGGACAGACACGTACGTTATCTTACAGAAATAAACATCAGTCAACGGATAGAAGATCACACAAAGCTTCAGATCTGAATAAATTTCATTTTAAATAATAACTGCACATTGCTTAGTGAAGTTTCTTACGAAATTTGCTCGTGACAATAAGACTTCCGTACCTTTTTCCTAGAGAAACGTCCGGTACGCGTTTCGATCCGCAGCACGTTGCTACCACACTCAATATTGCTTCACCGCTTAAAATCACGCACAGCTGAAGGGCACACGTTATATACAAAGGCTTCTATACCGTCCCTTCGGACCGTCCAACGCAGCCAGAATACTAACGAACCGCATAGAAGCTTATATCCCCAAATTATTTTTTACTATAGAATGGCGATGTGGTAGAAAATAAATGATCAAACAGTGCAATGGAACAATGTTTATTCATCTATAAAGCGGATTCGGTTTATTTTAGGAAACTAAGTATGAATTTTGCATCAGAACCGCTAATGCTACGGTTATCTTTTCTGGTATTAGCATTTGCTTTTGAAAGTGAACAATACACTATGGAATTACTTCACTAATTAATTATTTTCACATTGGCTAATTAACGCGCGAATACATGCAATATGTATTAACAATGATGACTAGGTTATTGTGTGATTATTCAATATTTACCACTATATATTTACGGCAGGAAATTTTAAAGTACATTACGCAAAAGACCACAGATGTGCGACCAAAACAGAAAATCCTACCCTAAATAAATATAATATAACGCTACGACAAACTTCAGTTCAGTCGAATAACTTTGAAAACAAGTTCCCTGGCCACTCTTGAAGTGAGGAATTTCCTCTTTCGGCAAAAACATCGCGCTCAAGAACTAAAATGGACAATAGTTCATGTTGAACTATTGTCCATTTTTTCGGTAAACTCTTATGCTTAACACATCCTCATTGATGCCTGATCAAGTCGAATTAAACGCAATGTATTACGACACGTTAGATCAGGATAATACAGGGACAATTGTACGTTTTTTGGTGGAATTGCTGAATCTATGTGGTGTATTTCCTTTAGAAGTTTTTCGTTTTGGCTTGTACAAAAAAGTAGGTTTGATCATAATGAGAACAATAAAATGTTACCAACTTATCTTCTTATCGAGCTGTTCTTGCCAATATAAAAAACATCAGCATATATATATATATATATATATAATGGGTTTCTCTTAGGTATTGTTGCTACTATTGCTATGAGTATTCCATAGTAAATTATTTATCTAGAAATTGATGAATAAAGACAACTATATTCTTACATTACTCACTACGCCCTTTATTATCAAACTGGCATACGATCGTTTTTCGTAAAATGTAGAACTCCTGCTATAGCTGGCGTTGACCACTGGTTGTGCTTAATTGATAAATAATTAATATTAGTGCACACTTTATACTTCACTTTGTCTCAATAAAAGCTTATTCTCATATGCTTCAACAACACAACTTCATTAGATAGAATTTATCATTTTTCTAGATAGATACAAGCAACCGGCTTGCATCATCTAATACATCCAGCCGCGGCTCTGACTTTTCTTCTTGTTCCTTCATTCGTCTTAAATCTGCGGTTGCAACGAGCGAATACGCCGTGATCGACGCTGCGGCGTCGCCTGAAGACCATAAAACCATTTGTTTGAAAAATGACAAGCTAGATGGCTTTACTTTTCTCGAATAAAACTGTAGCCAAAACGAGACCCGAAGAACGCATACACAAAACATGCATTATATCTACAAAAGGAAAAATGATATTGAAAGAAAGAAGATTAAAAAAAAAAACCTTTTCCGGATCTTTCTTTTGCGCCGAGTCCATGCCGATTCGAAGCCTCTTCAGGCGGGTCGAGTCCATCGACAGACGTTGGGCGCTGGCAATGAGTGGTGTGAATCGTAAGGATTTAACAGCACTACCCGACCGTGCTGGTACCTGCGCCCGTCCGAAAAAACAAAACGATAATTGGCATTCAGCCAAAGTGAAGTAAATTATAAGCATATTTCTAAACAGAGCATGTTCAAAGTAGCAGAATATGATAATAAGTTCACTGAGTCAATCCGTTATTTCCGCAATAGTTAAGTATCTGCATAGGTAAATTGTAGTTGACGTGTTCGATCTAGGTCATTTGTTAGACGTTCTAAAAATTCTCAGCAAGGTTACCCTGGATCGGGCAATTCATCACAACCGACTTTTTTTTTATCGTCCTTATGCTAAATTATAATTATTCAACGATACAAAATCTTACTGGCATAGATAAATTGATAGCCACAATGGTTTTGTCTAAGTATTGGCTAGATTCTCATAAATGTAAAAATTCACCTGTCATTAGAAAAGTTTTGAAGAACTTGTAATACAAGTTAGTTTATGATCTGAGCAAAATGAGTATGTACTACAACATCTAATTTAGTTACCACTGGCGCAACAGCAGACCGGTTGAATGCAATACACAGTTAAATATACGCAATTACAATAGACATTTTATATTGAGACGTGCTTCTTACAAAGAGTTGATATTGCTTTGTTACATTTTAGCTTTGCAATGTTCATGGATGCACCTCTATAAAGCGTGTAGCTTTTATTCCCATGGAACATTGAAGCCCATGTGATCATGTACGACAACGCGGTACGTTTACCACAATATATAAAACCAGATTTAGGATCTACCTAGCGTTCGCATCTTTTTTACATGTATATATATACCTCAAGTTGTTTATGAAGAAAAAAAACATTCGATATACTCGGAACGTGTGCATCTGCGCTAACAGTGTTTTTCCGTGCCGTCACTTCCACTTAGCAGTTTCATGTCATTGTGAACAAATGGCGGTCTTTCAAGCGAGAGATTTCAAGAAGTACAAAGTCACCCGACGGTTATACAGCTAAATAAGAAACATAACAGTTAACTGAGATATAGTTCGACACTGATTACTCCATTTGCTTAAGTCTTGTTTTTTAAAGTAACCTCTGTTTGCTGCAATATCTGCGTTTTGGGACCAATGAAGTTGACTTGTGAAATAAGCGATTTCTTTAATTAAATGTCAATACACATGATAGAATATCAGTGTAGTTTTGATACTAAAAAATGTAAAAAGATAATAAATGTAGTATCATTTTAACAAAAGACGTCTCCGAATCCTGTAGTTTGTCTAATACAGTCCAGCTCATATTCACTATACCCCTTACATGTCCTTTTATCTACGTAAAGACGAATGATAAGATCCTAAATATAAGACCTTAGCTGTAATACGATAATTCAAGTCTGGGTTGAAAATAGATAACCAAGGGCAATATTAATTATGGCAACCACATAAAGAATAGTATGGACTGTGGTGCCCAGGGCTGCTTGCACAGAACGGGCCTCCATTTCGTTGTGCGTTGATGTTCCTGCCTCACCCTCGGCATCTGGTACAGGAGGTTCCCTTAGGTTGTTAAACCCTTGCGTATTAGAAGACAAGCGGGCACGTTGTACCATTCTATTTTCAGCAGAATTAAGAAAAACTATATGGTTCCCACAGTCGTAGTCACGATTATAATCAACTTGCATTAGAGCTGGAGTGACTCTGTTTTGGGAGTCATAACCAGCCTCAGTCGCAGCGCTTACGAGAAAATCCTCGTCCTGCTTTTTTTGCAGTTGGTTGGTGTGGCAAGAATGATCCATGAACTGTTCGTCATGAATAAAGGTTCCATTACCACAGTCGCTCTGGTTGGTTCGTACCATTGGTGTGGTCTTCACATCCGGCGGCGTGTAAAGATGCTCTGGCGACGCGGCTGGCGTTTCGGAACGTTTTGGCTGACTATTCTTTAGCATTAAATGGCTGTCCTCAATGCTGTTCGTTTTATCGGGTGCGACAAACACCTTCTCCTGGTCCTTTGAGTGCTCAGTCGGGAAGAGGTTTTTCACTGATTCTGCACTATTACTTTCCCTATTTGCCACCGTGTCTTCTTCCAGTTCCTAAAAATAACAAGCGGAACAAATACATCCCATGTTTATGTCTTTGCTTCAAAGTAATTCGATTCAAATAAAATTAAAGCCTATTTACAAACCCACTGATACCTTGATAGCATGATTTGATGATAAACCCCCCGAAGTTATAAAACGACAAAAGCTTGAGAAATCACTAGTTAACTAATGGTTTGGCTGGCTACAGATGATTTAGTATATATGCATAGAGCGACCATTTTTTTTTTTACCTGACCCTCTTCGCCGTCGGAATCGCCGGTCGCCACTTCAACAGCAAGCATTGTATTGATTTCTCGAGCGAGTTCAGCCTTGGCCTTCTTATGCTTGGTTGTGAAGATTGCTTGTACTGCTGCCAAAATCGCTTCCCTTATGGAAAAAGTAAACGACGTTATCTGCTAGTATATCTATTATATACTCCATTTAATGGTAGACGTTCTGTCAGTTAGTAGCTAGTTCGTACAACTAGTATTAATACCCAACTATTTTACGTACTCACATAGCGAATTGCCAATCAACTAGAAGTGATTAAAACCTCTGCAGCTTCTTCTTAGCTTTACTGAAAGACGTTATTAAAGCTGTCGAAATATGCATCACAATAAGCGACTTTTAGTCGTCAATGGCGCCTACACGTAAGCATTTTATACGATGCAAGCATGGGATGAGGGTACGTACTTGCGATCACCTGACTCAGAAAGCAGCTGCGTCTTCAGCATCCAGAACTCTGCGATGTCGCTAACAGTTGATCGACGACCGAGTTCTAAGCCTTTTAGGTCTGTTAGAACTTCCGCACATGTTGCCTGCAATTATTGCGATAAAATTAGTTTCTCTTCGCTACTAATTGAGTGAAAAGTTTTAAAAGATACGATGATTCCTCTCCTAATACGATATTTCTATTAAAGCTGAATATATCCGAATTCATCATTAAAAAAAAAGATTATTTGTCTACTAATTTTGTAACATAAGCCTTGAGCAGTACATAATATATTATTGACTGCTAGTTAATTTCTCAACACTGACACGTGCCTATAACGTTCGCGAATATTGACAATAACAATAACTACAATTAACAGATCTTCGATTTTCAGATCAAATAACATAAGACAATCGAACTTGTTACATAATAACCTAACATTTTAGTACTTATAGACTGTCAATACTGCAGAGATATAAGACTATAGATCTGATTATCATGTCTATGATTATACAAAGTTCTTTGTTGCCTTTTATCATACAGTTTCATTTTTAAGCGCCTCTTCAAGCCGCTGCAGAGTGGCCAGGACTTCGGCGACCCGTTCCGTCTTCTGTTGTCCAGTTAGACTCATTCCTCTAATTGGAGTTCCACGAATCGGAGTCCGTTCAAATGCTTTTGTGTGAGGGGAAAACGATAGCGTTGCCTTTCGATTTCTAAAGCACAAAAATGTAGTTTGAGTAACTCCTTGCGAACTAGCTTTTTTGCTTTTATGAAGAAAAAAAAAAGAACGATGAGCTATTCATCATTGTCCGGTACAGTTTGTAGTGAATAGTGAACTGACCTCATTCCGGAGCCACTGAACAGGATGCCAACAGGTAGACAGCCGAGTTCTTCCATCTCTTCGCGCGAAACGGATGACTGAACGATTAAAAAAAAAGAAAAAAAAACAGAACTAATATATTATCTTTACTATCTGCTGCTACCTTTTAAATGTTACGTAGCCACTGTTATTATTCTGTATACAGGTACCTTCTTTTAATACAATTATATAAGCTAATTAATAATTTATAATATGCAAACCTTAAATTTAGGTAGATTACTAGGTTTGCTTGAAAAAGCTTTGGAGTTCCGTCGGATCGTGTTGGATGCAGTGGACCTAAAAAAAAATAAAAACGTTAGATTATTTTTGAAAATACAGAAGTTGTTTGAATGTCATGAAACCTACGACTGCGAATATGCTTAAAATAGTTTCTACACATTTTTCATAGATGAGTACAAACGTATACTTTAGAGGAATGTTCGTAGAAAAAACAAATGGCTCATTAGTATCTGGGGTAATATAAGAGTTATTAACATTTCTTGTTGAAGATTTTCAACGATATTAGAAATATCTAGCTGTCCACTAGATCAAACAAAATAATCAGCTATGAGTATGTCATACATAAGAAACTTCTTTTCAGAGTGAAAGTAAATTGATCCGCTCATATAAACCTACGTTTTTTTAGTATCGTTGGCATTTGTTTTTTTACTGGCTGTTCCGATGTTTTCCTTAACCGTTTTAGAAACAACGCCGGACTTTTTAAGCTGAGCTCCATATTGTTTGCGACGTTGGAAAGCAGATCGTTTAAGGGCGCTGTCAGTAACTGAAAAATGCACGCTAAATATCATAACCGCCGTATCGATTCGATCTAGGTATCTTTAGGTACCATTGGATTCGAAATAAGCAGTTCCAGTTGCCTCTATATTTTAAAACGCTTGTTTGTAAGCTCTCCATGTCGAAGCTTGTCATATTTTGCTACTAAAATGTCAATAGAAATGCACAGTTTTAAAAGTATATTGGTACGAAGCTCTACACAATCACAGAGAGATAACGGAATTTGCAAAAAACGTTTATGACGCGGTCGGTTTCCAGACAAATTGCAGTCTTCACCTTCAAAGTTTAGTGTTGCTAATTTCGTTTTAAGTATTAATTGAAAGTCTTAAGTACTTGGCGATAGCAATATAGGCTGGTGACTTCAACCAATCTCCAAATACTTAAAAAGTGAAAATAAGAAGCAAATGTATAAACTCTGTGCCCTTATTGAAATCCAATATAAACTTGACTTAGTTTAAAGTTTTTATTGGGACGTGAGCTGATCCTGCACAGGCAAGGCCAACTCTCGTCAAAAGATAGGCGCAATTTTGACGCGTATGAATTCGTGATGTACAGCCATATATTAAAATTGAACGATGATTTAATAGACGACAATGTAGATCATATCCATGAAAATCGGCACCTTTGCGCTTTAGGCCATTTAAGGCAAATACTATTACTGTAATAAAACTCACTGTTTGAGGTGGCTTTTTCAGCCAGGACGTTCTTACTTTTCACCATTTTCACAAAATTGTCCACACAGTTCGTGTGTCTTCTAGCGCGGGAACGGTACCGCAGCTGAAATTTAAAATGTAGAATAGATAGTGACAAAGAAGCCTGCATAGAAGGTTCGTTGGCACGAGTCACAGTTTAGCCATTCGTCGTCTGAAATCTGAAGCTTCAGATCAATGAACTACATGCACAAAGGACTGATTTTATGTCGTATATGTTCATATGCCCATTTGCTGTAAAGGGCTAATGCGGTTTTATTCGATTAGTGAAGGTTGTTTTTGTTATTGTCGGGTATAGATATGGCGGCGCCTAACAAATTGTACTCTTTCGAATGCCGGCGTACTTTATCATAGCCAAAGAGAACTCAGTGTTTTTGTTGATATACCTAAACGTCTGAGGATTGTGTGCATACGAGTTGGCGTTTACTCAAAAAATGTCAGTAGTGAACGAGGATCCGATTGCTGTTCTCGAGGACACTAGTGAAGGCATTTTACACGCTGTGTATGACATTATAAAGGGGTAGGTTAACACAGGGGTGGAATCTTGATAGTATAAAAAATTTGACATAAAATATGCTGACAATACCTATGATAACCAATAAATATTGGTTATTATAGGTAATTTCAAGACATGGACAGCGGGACGTGAATCTAATAGTATAATTCATTTTACATTAAGAGGTCGCTGAGTTCTTCAGGAACCTAGAGTCACTTTGACTTACATTAAGGAAGAGAGATTTCAGGTCTATACAAAGTTAACCAAGACGCCTTTAATGAAAACACGCGTTAAGTTTTCATTAAGTAATGCTATCACTTATAGTAAATTATAACGGTAATTATAAGATTATGACTTTTAATTTTGCTCTGAACCATAAATATATGGACAACAACCCTTGAATCATATCTACCTGTCACTATAATAACACGACCAAAAGCTTGAAAAATAAATACGTGTAAATACGCATCTGTGCTAATGTGTGACTACAGTGACTTTTCGGCCTACGCCAACTGGTAACTTGTTTGTGTTTCTTTCACTTCGCTTAGACGTGAACGGATATGGTAACTTTGTTCAGTAGCTTATTGAACTATATTTTTGAATAAACGATATTCGTTTCGTATTCTGTTTGTTTGTGTTCTGCAAATGCGTCAAATAGTGTAGAACGAGATGGAGGTGTTGACGACAAAGTTAGCCAACTACGGGGACGGTTAGAGAGCGCTCGGAGCTTGGTGCAAAGCCTCAAAGGAACGGATCTTTCACCCGACGAACAGCTTGAAAAAGCCGAACTCCTTCAGGTCTTAAATACAAACATTGCCACCTATGAAATATGGTGCATAATTTGCTAACGTTTACGAAGCAGAATTTTACATAGCTAACGCCTATTAAAATACGATATTTGTAAAAAGTTACGCTGCTTTTCAAGACACGCCTATTTTTTATACTCATTTCATTTTTTAAATGTACTTCGAATTTTCATTTTTTAGTTGACGGGTCATAAACTTGATCCGTAGTGGCTGTATCGAACTGATGTCGTACTTATTGAATGACTGAACCTCCCTGTTGTGTTTGCAGAGTAAACTTGTAGCAAAGCGTCGACTTCTGTCAACGTATAAACATATGTGCGGACTATTCGAACTTCCGGAAGGTGGCGGAAATGGTCAGCAAACGGGAAGTCAAGGGTCTCAAGCTTCGGGAGGGGCTCCGGGGAGCAACGGACTTCTTAATGGAGACGCTGATCATATTAGCAGTCATAGAGATCCTGCAGGAAGTAATGGTCAGGGAACACCGGATCCTGGAATGCTCCCACAGCAAAATAGCGCTGTCGGAAGCAATCAACTGCTGTAGGGATCGAAACGGTTAGTACTTCTGTTATCGCATCGCACTTAGGTTAACTGTACGAAAGTTAAAATTCAGTGTTACTGCGCTACACGTATATTTCTTGTTTATAGGGTAAAACGCCATTTGTCGAACATTTTCTCTTTAAGTAACGACAACAAAATCAGCAAATATTTTTAGACAGATGAGAGAATAAGCGACAATCCATTGCGAATTTCGTACTTGAACATCCTGCCTCGTCTGCTTTGGGAAATATTGTCGACAAAAGCAGATACAAACACTTTCTACGACTGCCATTGTCAATTTATTTGAGAGAACGAAGGCAGCCTTAGACAGATAAATACCTTATATCTTCAACGAAGGAATTATGTAACCTTATGGAGAAAAATGGGTGCAGAATGAAGAATGGCAATACAACGAACAGCTTATAATTTCTGTCTATCATAAGAGAGTTCTAGCAGTAAGCTACGAAGTTTTCTAGTTCTGTTTACAAGCTTTAATAGCTTTGTATTTCTGCATTTTTCTAATTTTAGGCTTTCCTATGGAAATACCTCCATGTCACGGTTGCTGTGCAACTCAAGTATCATTTTCAGCAGCTGTTATCGCCATAGGTTGCAGACTTCTTACGAAGCTCTGCAACGGACTAAGCAGTACCGTGGCTTCCAGAAAATCAAACGAGTTGGAGCAACTATATTGCTGGGGTTTTCGAAGTGCATTTTTTCTCCTGGTCATTAGTTCCTAGCATTCGTAAGAGATCGCACCTGCTTACCATTGCGGTGTAGAAAAAGATAACGAGAGACAACGTTGATGTCTGGCGAACACATACATTACACGGCGAAAAGCTCTCAATGTGCTGTGAATGAGGGCTAGGTAGTGCCATTGCAAAAAAGTACAATCGTTTGTTTTGAGTGTATTTCAGAGGGTAGGCTGGGTAATATTTCGGAGCTTGGCGGACCAGAGGCTGTCAACTATATAGTGAGACGAAGATTTTCATCATTAGCTAGTGGCTTTGTAAAGCGAACCTCTCAAATGACGTATCTTGATATCCTTATATTACGAACTTAAGGTGCGATAAAAAGCCGCAGCGTCGAGAATTAACAAGCTATTGATAGACGTTTGTCTACAACGTAATCCTGTACATAATGAATTACGCTGCATTGTAGCCATTCCCACTTCTCATTAAATTCAAACAGATATTGGCAATATATGAATAATGAGTTTAAATAAAAGATGACTTCAGACTAAGAAAATTATTTAATAGGAAAGCTTCTTTTGCTTCAAGTTGTAGCTATGCGGTTAATTCATGGATACTGGCGTGGGTAGCATAATCATTAAACCTCTCGGGTACTTTTTTGGATATGATGAGACTGACAAAGACTTGAGAAAACGATGCGACTAAATTACTCGTCTAATGTTTTAAACATGAGAGAACAGAGGATCAAAATATAGGTAAAGACCCATCTATAATTGTTTCCTAGCACAAATCTATTTTTTTTCTTTCACAATACAAAAGAGTTGTCTATTTTGATGGGAAATATTTTTTCCGCTAATATCTCAAATCGGAAAATAAAGGTATTATTTTTGAGTATGCAGACTAGCAGTGGCCCTTTGTTACAAACATTTATGGGACTCGACCGAGACGAAGGATAAGCATAAGAAGTATAAGTTGACATAAGGTCGCATTTTTAAGGAGCTCCCGATGAAGCAAAGGTTTTGAAAGTTCAAAAGCATCGGGAAAAATGAAGCGCTAAAAAATTTATCGTACTCTAAATTTTAGCAGAATTTTATTCCGCTTCTTTGATTAATCGATTCCGAGTTGTTGATCAAGTCGTCGAATTATTTTCACTCCACTTAGCTTGCGCCCAGAGAAAAACTCTAGATAGCAGGAATGAAGCGCGGTAATCAGCTTACAGCGCGATCTTTTTACCTATAAACGTTGAGCTTGTCCAAAAAAATATAGAGCGCTCAAGCTAGAATTTTCACATGTAGGTTTATATGTCGAAAGGAAAGGCGACGATACAAACCGCGGTAAGACGTATCGTGTGTGTGCGTTTTTGGTAATTAATGGTTTCTAACTTCATGGGGGAAGTTTTGATTTTCGTAACTACGCTTGATCCGTTACGACTGAGTAGAAATTGTCATCTTCATTTGAGGAAGCCGACGTTTTACCGGGACAACGCTTATTATGGACGCTACTTGTGTGTTACATACATCTTTCTCGATTTTGAGCTGGATGCTCATTTGAAGGCGTCTCAAAACTTCCGCCTACGCCGCTAGATTATCACCTTTTAATCCTAATAAAGTTTTCTTAATTAAAGAATTGTTCGACCGTTTAGATAGCATAAAACTCCATATAGATAGTTAGGGTATTCGCCACGATATTGCATTGTAATATTCGCTTGCCCAAACAAAAATGAGAAATTTTACCAGACTTAATGGTTTTTCGGTATTAAACAGAAAACACAGAGTGAAATTTGAAAGCTTCGGAATACATTTATGTTATCTTTTTATTTATGTTATCTAAAGGATATGAATATGATAAACTGTATGGGACACGAAAGAAACTCTATATTGTCAATTGCGCCATAAATCTAAATCAAGTAATCTGTCGATGCGGGACTCTTCGGACGATTCTGTAAATTTTGCAATTGAAAATAAATAAAATTGTAATAAAACACCTAATTAACGTTTTTTTATTTAAAATTTCTAACAAGATGTAGACGTGTGACTTACAGATGACACTAGCATCAATTCCAACGACGCATTAATTTTTTTATTTTAATAGCATAACAATTAGGGATAATTAATTGTATGGTGCCTCTTCGTGCTCAATAGATTCGATCTTATTCTGAAGCCAACCTTGCTACCAAAGTGGGCCGTCCCCATCCAACTTTTTTTAAATCATCGGTAACTAAGATGTATAAACTTATCGAGGATTCCCTGAAATAATATGAAAAGTAAAAACTACATAAATGATATAGCTATTCATTGTATCATTCATTACGAAGAATTGCCACGTTGAAGAAAATGTTAACATATATGTATGAACAGAACAAGATTGTTTCTGCTTCGAAATCGAAAAGGTTATAATCAGCCATCACCAATCACAATCCTCATCATGGATGTTATAATGACTACACTGGTCTACGTTTAACAATAGCAACAACAACCATAATCACATTAACGATATCTTTTCTTTAGTAGATCTCTAGCAACGCTGCGTGTCCAGTCGTTCAATACAAACAAGTAGTGAAAATTCTTGAGAGATTTGGGTCCGCAATGAATACACTTAGCTATGGACTGTTCCCCAAAGCATGACGTTGACAACATAGATGCACTTACATATGATAGAACCTTATTACTGTTTTCGACGCGATTTTTGGATGACATCGGCAACGGGCTTCGGTCTATCCGGCAACTGAAGATTTTCTTTTCATTTTTTACCACTTGCTATCTTGAATGTTTCGTGCATTCCTTAGACTGAGCCATTTCTTTGTTATTTGAGGGTGGACGAAAGCTTTACGCTGTCACTTGTATCGACTGGTCGTTATGGTAATACTAGTAGTCATTAGTCTTCGAATTAGAAGCTACGGCCATGGTGATAAGCGACACCGCGCCAGCGAAGGCTAGGAACAATAGGAGGGCAAGAACTGCTTTGCGCGCAGGACCACTGGGCTCTGTTGATGGCTTGGTATTACTATTATATAATTTTATTTCTATTTATCAAATTCTTCCGTCGTTTTCTATACCTTCTTCAACAAGCACTGGATTGATCAATAATCAAACTGATCTCAGTTTTTGAACAAATAATGGATTGACCATTTGCGATTTAATTAAAAGAGTGCAATAAGTGGCATATAAAGACGTTTCTTAATTATATCTGTTCATCAAGGACGCTTCTTCATATTCCATCAAAATAAGCACAGGATGAAAAGGACTCTTAAATACATAGCCACAAAGCCTTCAACATCGTCTTGCTATGTGCTTAACAAACATTGCTATAAAGCGATGCCAAATGATTTTCAATCTATCCAGGGATGTAATTGGTATGTTTAATTCATGCATGTACTCAGATATTTTTTATTCACTGCTTTATGCTGTGGATGTCATAAACCCCTGGATAGGAGTGGGGAAAGACCTAATATACTAAAAAATACAAGCCTGTTCGCATCAGTGAATTTTTTCGAAAGATACACTAAACGCCATGGATGTGCAAATTTATAGACGTCTGGTTCCGAAAGAATGAGCGCTATATACCTGACCATTACCGTGAGATATAATAGAACATTAGAAACCGCAGCGACGTAAGGGCTGATTCATCAGGGGGCAATAGTTGCTCCAATGCATCTGTGAATTAATCAAGTCCGACAATTATGATCATTAAAAGTCTATTGGTCGTACAGGTTATATCCTGAATTTCTGTAATAGAGTTAATATTGTGGACAGGATAGAAGTAATTTGATTGTATATTCCACTACTTCTCTTTAGAAGTAGATCTCAAATAAAATAATGCCGATTTATTAATGATGCGAATGCTCAATATCGATATTTTCAGACGCTGCATATAATTTATAATCATTTCTATATCGGCCCAGTTTATTAAAGAAATAGTGACCATTAGTGCGCTCTTTCGACCCTCTGACCAATGCAAGAAAATTAACACAACGTCAATTGACGAACTTGAAACGACCATTTATCCTTCTCATTTTTGTCGCTTTGTCTTTTGAAGGTATTGAAGTTTGTTTTTCTGTAGCTCTCAAGTAAAATGTTTAGAACACGCTGATTTGGAAGATTGGGTTAACCTTAACGTGCTCCCTTGGTCGAGACAAGTGACCGCGGTTAAACCTTCCATTCTATTCAGTGTACACCTTCTAGATCAATGTGGACAGCAGCGATGATCCGTTCTCCTTAATTTTACTAACACTCTACAACGATTGTCGGCTACGACTACTACAACTACTGCTGTACATGGTCTATGGTTCGCATCTCGGCTACACCTCTATCACCCTCGTGTACATCGAAGGAAGAGGCTCTTTTTCATTACTGCACCGGTTCTATCTGTATTTTTCATTTATTCGTTGGCCGTTTTTTTTTGACACCTACTAACTGCTAGCGTACCAGTGGCATAGATATAGTGTATAATGCAAACATAGCAACCTGGTACCATTCGCACTATTCGTAAGCGAAAAAACGCTGATGATTTCGTTGCACGTAATACGATTTTTTCGTTGTATTTCGTTGCTCGTTGTTACTGTTTTGTGAATTTCACCCCAGCCCCCCGGAGCGACAAGCGATTACCACGACGATTATCGGCACAATGGTTGCGCCTGATGCCTTTAGCTGCTGTAGCCGCCGCTGCTAGTGGGCCTACCTTGCAGGTAGAGAGCCCATTAGATCATAAGCATAAAATTATCGTTAGCATTGTTAACGTTTTCGTCGCAAGTTAAAAGAGATGAGACGGTTTCAACGAAAGGGTATCGTAACGTTATCGTTTGACGAAAGAGAGCCATAATAATAGTACAAAACGTTCGATTCGTACTAGTCAGTTTTCTGCCTATGTTTCTTTTTGGTCATTTTTTTTTATCATCTGTGTATGATCGTGCAGTCCATTCTCGTGTCCCTAACACTCACCCACTTAGTCATAGATTGCTGCCGTACACAACATTTCCTGTTTACCGTTTTAATAGATTTTGCTTACATGGAATAGTCTGTTTTGTCGCTGTGTCCGAAGAATCGAATCACCGATCTGTTCGTTGTTCGGACTTAATAAAACACCGCTCATCCTATTCTAGACACGACCATATATATATATATATATATATATATATATATATATATATATATATATACGTTGACCACCATTATTATTATATATTCTCTACTCTTAGCTAACATTACATAATTTACGCTCTGCATGGATCGTATGACACGTATTAGTATCGCACGGGACACAGCATTTTCGGAAGTAGTAAATGTCTTGGAAAAGTTGATTTAGATGCTCGCAGGCTATTTATAAAACAGTCAATTGTGCTGCAGCGTTGGTAATATGCTGCTGCTACTGCTGTAATATTTATGTGGTAGCTTTTTTAACTCGAATATAATAGGCACGAAAAAATAGCCAAATAATATTACGTATATATTCAGTATATAGACAGATCTATAAGCAGGTTATTTATTGTAGCGGACACGCGCTTGTTTGCTACTTTTTTGGTATTAAAAAGAAGCCCATTTTGTTGTTGAAGCTAAGCCACAA